TTTGTCCAGCTATCCCACTACTGGGTGTTTATCCAAAGAACTTGAAATCAACAATCCAAAGAGGCTTATGCACCCTTATGTTCATTGCAGCATTATTCACTATAGCCAAGAAGTGAAAACAACCCAAGTGTCCATCAACTGATGAATGGATAAAGAAGATGTGGTGTATATATATATATACACACACACACACACACACACACACACACACACAATGGAATACTACTCAGCCATAAAAAAGCCAAAATAGTCCCATTTGAAACAACATGGAAGGACCTTGAGGGTATTATTTTAAGTGAAATAAGCCAAACAGAGAAAGACAAGCACAGTATGATTTCACTCATATGTGGAAGATAAACAAACATGTGGATAAAGAGAACAGATTGGTGGTTACCAGAAGAGAAAGGGGTGGGCAAAAGGGGTAGAGGGGCACATATGTACGATGATGGATAAAAACTAGACTATTGATGGTGAGCACGATGCAGTCTACACAGAAACTGATAAATAATAATGTACACCTGGAATTACACAATGTTATAAGCCATTATGACCTCAATAAAATAATTAAAACAAGATAAACAAAAATAAATAAAACAAAACTGCCTCCAGCATCCTTTAAAATAATGATTACAGGTCTTTGCATTGTCAGAAAATCTAATTTTAAAAGATTCTTGGAGATGTGAATTGTAACATTATCTCTCTTTGTGAATTTTCAGAATTTTAGTTGTTAAATTTAGTGAAAAATTGATATCTAATACTTCCTCTTTTGTTTACTGAATTTGTGAAATTGTTGTGCAGGTTGTTTTAAAAGATTTTTAAGGGCCAGCCCTGTTGGCCTAGTGGTTAAGTTCAATGAGCTCCACTTTGGTGGCCTGCGTTCGAGGGTTCGGTTCCCAGGCGTGAACCTACACCACTCATTGGTGGCCACACTGTGGCGGCAGCTCACATACAAAATAGAGGAAGATTAGCACAGATGTTAGCTCAGCGACAATCTTCCTCGGCAAAAAAGAGGAAGATTGGCAACAGATGTTAGCTCAAGGAGTATCTTCCTCAGGCGAAAAAAAAAAAAAAGGAAAGATTTTTAAGACTATAGATCTAAGAATAACATGTTGAAAAACATGACATTTCTGAAGCTCCAAGGCCTAACACCTTTAAGTAAAATATATTTTTATTCTTATTAATTTTTTATTTTTTTATTGATGTCTTAATAGTTTATAACATCGTGAAATTTTGGTTATATATTTTGTCTGTCAGTCACCATATATATGTCTCCCTTCATCCCTTGTGCCCACCCCCCACCCCCTTTCCCCTGGTAACCACTATACAGTTTTCTCTGTCCATGTGTTGTTTTATCTTCCACATACAAGTGAGATCATACAGTGTTTGTCTTTCTCTGTCTGGTTTACTTCACTTAACATAATACCCTCCAGGCCCATCCATGTTGTTGCAAATGGGACGATTTTGTCTTTTTTTTATGGCTGAGTAGTATTCCATTGTATATATATACCACATCTTCTTCATCCAATCATCAACTGAGGGACACTTGGGTTGCTTCCACGTCTTGGCTATAGTGAATAATGCTGCAATGAACATAGGGGTGCATAAGCCTCTTTGGATTGTTGATTTCAGGTTTGTTGGATAGATTCCCAGTAGTGGGGTGGCTGGATCATAGGGCATCTCTATTTTTAACTCTTTGAGGAATCTCCATACCATTTTCCATAGAGGCTGCACCAGTTTGCATTCCCGGCAGCTGTGTATGAGGGTTCCTGTTTCTCCACATCCTCTCCAACATTTGTTGTTTTTTGTCTTGGTGATTATAGCCATTCTAACAGGCGTGAGGTGATATCTTAGTGTTGTTTTGATTTGCATTTCCCTGATGATTAGTGATGTTGAACATCTTTCATGTGCCTATTGGCCATCTGTATATCTTCTTTGGAGAAATGTCTGTTCATTTCCTCTGCCCATTTTTTGACAGGTTGTTTGTTTTTTTGTTGTTCAGTTGTGTGAGCTCTTTATATATTATGAAGATTAACCCCTTGTCAGATACATGTTTTGCAAACATTTTCTCCCAGCTGGTGGGCTGTCTATTCATTTTGATCCTCGTTTCGCTTGTTATATTTTTATTTTTACAGGATACATATTGTTTCTCTTTGCACAAAAGTCATTACAATCATAGAACACAGGAGCCCTCATTAGCCAATCTAAGAAACCCACCTCCATTTAGATTTCTGCATCCCAATTCCTTTCTCCTCAGCTCCAAGGACTCATTTGCGTGGAAAAGTTATCCCAACAAATAACATCCAGGGCCCCGCACCACACAACATCCCTTTTGCACAGAACAAAGATCTGAACACTTTCACCAGTCTGCAAGGGCAAAGTGTAAAACGCAGCTCTCTTGTGAGCCCAAGGACAACAGTATTTGGTGGATTCAAAAAGCAATTCTCGCTTAGACCCAAATGCCTCACCTAGCTGCAGAATCTCTCACTTTATCCGTCTGCAGGGAAACCATCCACATAGCATTTTGGACCCATGAGGCCAAGGAGATGGAAAAGGTGCCTCTTCTGCACAGGATTCTGAGTAGACAGATTTTTGGCAGGTCAGGTGGCACAGAGACAATAGGCACAGGGCACATCTTCGGTGCAGGCTGGTGCACAGGCAACCATGGTACCTATCTTCAACCTATCTTCAAGGATGGTGCTTCCTCGGAGTTCCTGAAGAGAAGTGCTTGGAAGAATCAAAGAAGCATCCATTGGGAATGAAATACGCTAAGTGGTCAAGAAGCCATTCGAAGAGATTAAGACATTTTCAAAGGGCCACCTACATTGGAGCCAAAGTGCAAAGCACAGAGGTGTTATTTACACCAAGGGAGTGTCCCAAATTGTTTAATGCAGACAACAGCGCTCTTATCAAGATTTTGCCCTAGGTCCTAGTCGCACATCAGAATGGTGAATTTCAGGAAAGCCAAATTGCTCACTTCTGCTGTTTTCAGCTTCATAGTAGGAAACAGGATCCAAATACAGCCTTCTGCTCTTTCTACCAAAGCAGGCAGCTTCCCAAAACTTGTGTCTCATCACTATTTTACGAGTGAAAAGAAGAATTGAATAATTCTCTAGAAAGTGATGCTTAAGCCACCAAATTTTGAAGATTAGTTATTAGCCTCAAATGACTGGCTTAACTGTGTTTCTGACCGTCTGAATGGGCTTAATTGAAAAAAAATTCAAGGGTCGTGGTGAAAATAGATTGACACATAGCTAAACGGTGGATGGGTTCAGAGCGAAGATCTGCTTTTGGAGAAGAGAATTACACGGTTGGCTGCTGACGGTATTAGAATTCGGATCCTGAGGAAGAATTGCGAAAATGAGTAGAGCCCCCCATCTGTGCACATTGGAAAATAGGTTTCGTCTGTATTTTGAGATACTCGACAGGTAACAGTTTGATGAAACCTAAATCCATTCTCTGCATCATGAGACATTTCAACATGACACTTGTCAACAAATACAAAGAAAGACCTGTGAGATGTAAGAATGATTGTCTCACTTAAGACTGCAATAAAAATAGAAGATAGTTTGGTTAAAAATTCCCGTCTTCAGGGGTGCATAAAGCAGCCTTTATAAGAAGCCAAAGGTTGCAAAGACAGAATGACTAGGTTTAATAAACAAAGAAAATGTTAGAAAACATTTGCTGAAGGTAGAGATGGGACTTCTATGGATGGTGGATCCTTGGAATTGGAGAAAAATGCAAGAGAAGTTGGAGACCTCCTTGAAGATGAATCACAAGGAGTTTTGGAGAAACCAATTTATGTGCTCAGATAAATGAGTCCTTAAAGTCTGTGGAAGAAAAAGCAACCAAATATACACTAAATTATCTGAAAGAAGATAGAACAACAGATGCACATACAGATTTTATTAAAAAGTCTCCAAAATGAACAAGCTTTGTTGCAGTCAGAAAAAAAAAAACCCACAATTTGAAAGTCAGATTCCAAAATGTCAGCAGAAACATAAAGTCATTAGTGAACCACACCAAAATATACATATATAATGAATTATCACCAAATATTAAATGTATAGAGAATTTGCCATGGAAAGAGACAGGAGAATCTTTCCAAAGCCATTGGAAAAAATTGTCTATGCTTGTGGAGAACTGGACACCCACAAAATTCAAGCAAAATTGCTTGCAGAAAAATAAAAAAGAAGCTGTTTTTTTCCAGCTTTATTGAAATATAATTGCATATAACATTGTATAAGTTTAAGGTGTACAACGTGGAGATCTGATACATTTATATGTTGCAAAATGATCACCACCATAGCGTTCATTCTGTCGCCTCACATAGTTACCATTTCCTTTTTGTTGTAAGAACATTTAAGATCTACTCTCCTAGCAATTTTCAGGTACATATTACAGTATTGTTAACTACAGTCTCCATGCTGTACACTAGATCCCCAAAACTTATTCCTCTTATAACTGGAAGTTTGTGCCTTTCGACCAGCATCTCCCCATCTCACAGCACATGGCCACCAGCATTCTACTCTCTGTTTCTATGATTTTTGCTTTTTTAGATTCCACAAAGAACAGAGATTATACCATATTTGTCCAAAAGAACAACTGGTTTTGAGCCATTCTCATGAGAGGAAAAGCTTGCAATGTTTGATGGGGACTTTCCTTGGATGAGAAAGCCTTGATAGTTTAAGAAAATGCATGCGTCACAAAAAGAAATTGATTGAGGGAGAATCTAAATGTGAAAATTTCAAAAGGTATCCTTCTCTCCCTTATGTTCCAAGAAGGGCATTTGCAGAGAGCCAGAGATGGCTCAGAGAGGCAGATGTGGGGCCAGATTCCACCTTCATGGGTCAGGACAACAGGAAAAGGGTCCCCCCATTGGGACAACTGGGTCCTGACATAGCAATTTTTCCCCCAAAGCAAGATAGAGTGGATAGACTCGTTCTGATGCTCCTCAAGCTGGAAGATGCTAATTTATGGATCACAGGCGGGTCACACATCTTCTAAAATGGAGGTGGCACGCCATTGGCCAGAGCTGTCACATGACCATACTGACCCACAAAGGATGCTGGGAACTGTAGTTCAGCTGGAAAACCACAAGCCCGGAGACAGCGGTATTAACTCAGAAGACAGAGAGAAAGGATTTGCGGGGAAAACCTGCATTTTTAACACTCAGTGTTTTCCACTAGCTTCTGCAGTTTTGATTTCATGGTCTCAACTTTTGACCTGATTCTCAGAAATGTCCTATCCATTGCAATGAGCTGAATTCTATTTACATTAAGAAAAAAGCTTATTTTTTGTTTATTTTTTCCCCATCCCATCTGCAGCCCTTGCTACCTACCAGGCACGACTTGGAATACTTTTCACACATCAACTTATGCACTCGCACCACCATTGGGCGAGGCAGATCCTATTATTATACCCATTTTTCGGATGACACAACTGAGGCCCAGAGAGCTTGCATAACTTGCCTAAGGTTATGCAGCTTGAAAGGGAAGAACTCGGCTGCAAACCCATGAATTGGGTCTCAGAATACAGTTTAATCATGATTGGCCTTGTGTACTACGTCTACAGGCAAGTTAAGTGTAAATCATATTATTTCTTTTAAATTAGGAAAAAAAGGTACCCCCAACGTATTCACGTATGTATGAATTTCTTACGGCAGCCATATCAGAGTCCCACAAACTGAGCGACTCAAACAACAGACATTTATTTTCTCACAGTCCTGGAGGCTGGAAGTCCGAGATCAAGGGCCACACTCCCTCTGAAGACTATAGGGGAGGTTCTGTTCCAGGCTTCTCTCCCAGCGTCTGCTAATTCCTCGGCTTGTGGCAGCTTCATTCCAAGCTACATGCAGTGTTCTTCCTACGTGCATGTCTTCGTCCACATTTCCCGTCTGATAAGGACACTGGTCTTATTGTATTGGGGCCACCCTACTCCAGTATGACCTCATCTTAACTAATTGCCCCTGCAATGGCCCTATTTCCAAATAAGGTCACATCCTGAGGTCCTGGGGGTTAGGACTCCAACATATGAATTTAGGAGGGGACACAATTCAACCCATAACAATATATTAATACACCTTGTGTGTGTGTGTGCATGCATGTGTGTGTGTATGTGACTTGATCTTCCTACTTTAGGAGCCAGAAGTGAATCAGCATGACCACATACTTTCTGTTTTAGGACAACTACAAAGACTTGCATATGGTGGTTTATACTTGGGGAAAGAAACATGCTCCTTTTAAGTGTATGTAGAAAAGCAGAAATGAAAATGTAGCTCACCCAGTGGTCGCCCTCTTCACCCCTCTAGAATTAGATTTCTGGCTTCTCTCCACTTCAACATGAAGATCATCACTCGCTGACCCCCAGGCACCTTCAAGGTCCCAGGAAGAGAAGGTGACTATTGCTTTTCACACTGTGGATCTATGCTATCCTTTCCTTCTTTAAAGTGCATGGGGATGGCTGTTTATCGTGACTTTTCTCCTCTTTTCAGCTTGAGAAGAAGACCCTCCGAGTGGTCTTGATGACTCCTTGGAAGGATATTCCCCGAGTAATCATTGCTCAAAGAGTTTTATTTTAATTTGATTGAACATTAGCCATTCTTTCCCCTTGTCATTCGGGTGATTTTTACCCCCTAACTCTGTAACTATCTTTATCTTATGAGTTCATAATCCACTTTGCTTCAAATGGTACTGATGAGAATATTTCTTTCTTTGGAAGATAAAAGATGCCCACCTGGTTCTCAGACATCTGCTATGTCCCTTGGAACTGAGCAGAGACCATCCCAGCGGTAACTCATGCCTCCAGGTCCATTTACACACCCAAACAACACACAACTGAGCTTAGAAATGGACTTCTGGGAGACATGCAAAGCTACGTAGCTTCATGATTTTTAAACACGTCCACTGCTGTTTTATATTTTTATGTGCGAAATATAGAAAGGAGAACAAAACAACCAGAGCCAATTTTTTTCTTTTACATTTATTCCAAATGATGAAAAGTTGTGCATGACAGTTACAGAAAACGGATCTATCTTTAAAAATGCTGAAATTCCATCTATGTGTATATGTGTATGTGTGAATGTGTGTGTACATACACAAACACACACACACACACTTTTTAACAAGAGTTACGTCGAACTCACACTGAAGCTCATATATGGAAAATCTTTAGTGGGCATGAGGTTTCATCACTTGTGGGAAATCCTCTCTAAGAGGTGAGAAGCATCAGGGAACATTTATATCAAATCATACGTAAATTCATGACCTGAGGCATGCGATTCTGAGACATCTCATCGGGATCACTCGTTTTAGGTTCTTTTTCAATTTGGGAAGCTCTTTCAAACGCTTTCTGCTTTCAACTCTGTCTTCGGAGACCTGGCTCCCAATTCATCATGGTGAGCATAAGGCAGCATATTTGGGATTTTTATGGGTCTCTGTAGGAGTTCCAGATTGCAAGGAACACCTTCATTTTTGGTTCTGATATTTAGGGCATCATCTAAAAGTTCTATAAACCTCCACTTTAGTTGAATCAAGGTATCCCAATATGCCCAAACTATCCTTTTCCTCTCCCCGAAAGTGTCACTAAAATAGAAGCAGTTAGTATACTTTTTCAATGTCTGAGGATGTGAGATTTTCTGCTCCAGTAAAAAGAGAAAGCATCAACAGAGGAAAACAACGCCGACGACTTAAGGACGGGCACCTACAGAGCGTCAAAGACTAAAAATGATATGAAAAGTCTCAACCTCTGCAAACCACTATTTCTACTCCCTATTTTCCAAAAAAATATTGAAACCGTAAGATTTCGCAGGAAAATGAATCCCCAGAGCGATTCCCTGAGGTGGTTTTAACATCAGCGATTTTGCACTTAAAATGCCAACATCCAGCCTTCTGTCTGCAGGTAATGATAATTTTATATGCAGACAGGTGGGAGCTGAAATAATGGTCAAACTCTGTTGCTAACGTAGAGAATCATTCATTCCTACTTCACTCCCAATGGTGAATGCCCCAGGGTTTCTGTGCCATGGCTCAAGCTGCCCACCACAGCTTGTTGGAAACCCCAACAGCATTCTTTGTCTCTCAAAAGCCAAGAGCATCCTCACCCAATACTCATGCCATTCTGCTGCCGTTGCGCTTTGTGACAACGTCGTCGGGGATAAACATTTGCGTGTGTGGCACCATGAGGTAGTTTGGGAGCTCAGAGCAGAGTCGGAATCTCTCTGTCCAAATGATGGAACCAACACATCAAGCAATCCTTTTGCTACCCAAGGTCTAGCTGTCTAACTTATCTTTATAAATGCACCACGTCCAACGAGTTCAGCGTTCTTTGTTAGGCAGCTCATCTATTTCAAACAGGAGAGAAAACACTGTATGACAGCGGGTTACGCCACAAAAGAAAGGAACTTTCCACAGGAGCAATAAACGGGGTTCTTGTCTTGATTGAGTTTTCCTCCAATTGACCAGTGGATCTCGTGCTCAGACATTCTCTGGTTCTGTAAGGAAAGATTGGGAGCAAAACAGCATAGTTAGGAAAAGAAAACTCTACGGATCGATTTTAAAGCATTATTAACTTTTTTGCTGTTTGCCATTTGTTAAGGGTTTTGAACATCTTAAATCAATTGAGTAATTATATCTTTTTGGTTAAAACTAATATTCATATGAACCCCTTTTTGAGATGTGGTCTAAAAAAAGTCTTCATAACATCTGAAGTGGGAGTTATTATTACCTCCGTTTTGCAAAATAAAGGCAAAGCATGATGCTCAAACAGTTCACTTTAATGGATAGACATCTGTCACCATGCAGATGGCCCCGTCCCCATAACTGTGTCCCTGCAAGGTGCACAAGCTTCAGAGAAGGATGTATACAGCTGCTGCCTATGTACAGCCCCACAGGTTGTGCACTGCACCATATCCTCATAGAGATCGCCAGTATACCATGCCCACCATCCTTCAGAGAGAGGTGACTCCCCTGACCCAACTCAGGACGCTGGATGGCTAGACAACATCAGAATGACAACTCAAAGTCAACTTCACTCCCATCTAGGATAAATCCCACACACGGAGCCTCCATGCTCATATTTCTCAGACGGTTTGATGGTTTTGCAACCAGCAAGACCATGTCGACCTAGGATCGGTCCTGCCCACCTTGGGAGAGGTCCCCTAATGGTGTGACAGTGTGTCTGCACTCTTGACTTGTTGAGCTGGCTAGATTTAATGGAAGGGAAACCAAACTCGATCCTTGGTAGACGTGATGAAGTTGTCGTTGAAGTATCATTGAGAATGTGGACGGGATATTTATCTAGTCGACAAAAATGCAGGAAACAGCTTCAAGATAGGACATGGCTTTAACAGAAAAGGGCTTCCACCTCAGATACACTGGGAGGGCATGATCTACGTTTTTTAAAAAACTCCATCTCAAATCAACAATTCAAAGAAATTTACCACCCCCTGTGTTCATTGTAGCATTATTCACAGTAGCCAAGAGGTGGAATCAACCCAAGTGCCCATCAACAGAGGGATGGATAAAGACGTGGTATGTATACATATACAATGGAATACTACTCAGCCATAAAAAAGACAAAATCATCCCATTTGCAACAACATGGGTGGACCTTGAGGGTATGATGTTAAGTGAAATAAGTCAGACAAAGACAAACACCGTATGATTTCACTCATATGTGGAAGATAAACAAACACGTGGATAAAGAGAACAGATTAGCAGTTACCAGAGGGGAAGGGGGTGGGGGAGGGTGAAAGGGATACAGGGGCACATATGTATGATGATGGATAAACTAGACTATTGGTGGTGAGCACGATGCAGTCTATACAGAAACTGATAAATAATGATGTACACCTGAAATTACACAATGTTGTAAACCATTATGACCTCGATAAAAAAAAAAAACAAAAAATGAAAAACTCCATCTGCTTCAAAAAATCAAGTAAGATGACTCAGTGGGCACAAAATTCCAGTGGGCACCAGAAAACTGAGAAATCAAGATACATAATAACACCTTAATGCGATGTTTCAAAAAAATCAAAATTAGTGCCCCCCCCCAAAAAAGGGCCATGATGAGCTCAATATCAAAATGTGAAATAAAGGCAGGATCCAGTCTGGCATTTGTATATCCCTGCCTCACTCGCCTTCCCCCAAACCCAGCCCCCCGTGCCAATAAAACTTTATTTATATAAACAGGTGACAAGCCTGCGGGCTGTAGGTTGCCTATTTGTTGTTATTTTTTAAATATTGCACAAAAATACTGTTTATTTCGATGACTGAGTTTGTTGCCAGCCCACCTCTTATGCTTGTGCCTGAGATGAATGCCTCGCTCTCCTCACCCCGTGTCAGCCCTGAGCTCACGGGTTCACGAGTTCTTACAGGTCACCGCCAAGGATGGGACCAAAATTAATGCCCAGTGTCTCTGTCACGATCAGGCATGTTTCCAGGAAAGTAAGGCTGTTTTTCATAAGTTCTGTTCCCCGCAAACTTTCGGAGTGGGGCGTTATGTAGACGAGGCTCGCCCCGGCCAGAGGGGTGGTCATTACTGCCCAGCCACCAGCAGAGGGAGGCCACGGGCAGCTTTTAGGGTTCTGAAGATGCAGACAAATTCTAAAGAAAAGACCGCTGGAGTAGGCTTCTGTTTCATAGCTTCCTCCACAGACAGAAAGGAGGCGTGGGGACAGACTCAGATGTGGGTGATCTCGGGACCAAACTTGAGAGACCCTGAGTTAAAATTCCACCTGCCGTTTTGCCATAAAACATCCCTCTCTCCCCTCTGACCCTCCCTTTATAGAGATGTCTTCAGGGCATCCATTGATCAGCAGCCAAGACCTCCGATCCCAAGGATGACTGACTGGGCGTAATTCTCCAAACCAGGGAGCCTGGACCCAAAGTTGATGCAGAAAGCCACAGCAGCCCCCCCCATCCATTTCCCTAGGGTCCATGCACAGCCTCTGAATTGGACAGAAAGATTTACAATTTAGTGCTTCTATCACTTTCTTTCGGGAGAAGTGTGCAAAAATTTCAGGTTTGACCTGAACGTTTTTCCTGACTTGCTTGTGATTATAATTTCACTGAAAATGAAACAAAATTGTACCAGCCTGGCTGAATGCAAACCCCTGCTTACAAAGTTCCGGTCTACGTTAGTTTTATAAGTTCTTTGGCAGCAAAACCAAATCTTGCAGATCAGAAAACTGTTTAAAAAATTAATAAAAGGATAATCTATTAAAATGTGTGCGTTGATTTCTTTCAAGTTCCCATGTGCGCTTGATAAAGACCCAACTTAAAATGACATCATTACACAAGGCGATCTACACCAGACTTAACCAGAAATAACACCGCTGAAGATGCCAGCAAGTATTTTTATCAGGCTTTACAACTAGAAAAATAAATTTGGAGTGCAACTTGCCATTTGTCCTGAAACAATTTCTTGTCCTGTTGCGTTGGAAATACCTAGCTGCCGCGCCCACCAGCGCAACCACCACGACCGACACGATGGGGGACACGATTTTCGCTACTGTGTTGCCTGCAGGAGTCAAAAAGCAAGATCGTCTGAGAAAAAGGCGGCCGGCAGGAAACTGTTTATTTTAAATAACTCTGCGGTCACATCCCTTGTCCTCCTCACTCTCATATTCACCCCAAAAAAGAACAAATTCACACAGGAATCCTCAGGAAGTGATTCTGCTTATTAACCACGACTTACCCTTCTGGAACATTCAGCACAGAGTTTTGCACAGAAGAGGCACTTGATATGTTTTCTGTATCTTTGTTTAATTTGATGAATTTGTACCTTTTTAGACATAGAATGCTTTCTCATGCACAAAAAAAAAAAAAAGGTTCAATCAAAAATTGCCTTGATGTCACCACCCTCACTGGGACTCTGGACAGAAGTACATACAAGAAATCAATGCCTTGAAGCCAAGCTGAGTGCAAAGCTTAGGTTTTCTTGCACGAAGAACCCAGGTCAGGGACTTTGGTGTGACCAAAATCAACACTCTCCTAAAAGAAGAAATCATTCCTGCCATTTAAAATGACCACCCATGTCTTATATCAGACTGGGTAAAGTACCTACCATGTCGTAGGTGATGGATAAATGGCCACTCCATGAATGAGGTGCCATGTTGGTTGGAAGAGCGTTTTCAATGGAGCCCAGGGATCTAGCCCTCATCTGAAAATGCTGCCTCACCTGCCTTCTGCATCTGCATTCTCTACAATGTGACCGGGTACATCAAATGTGACCCCATCAAAACATGGTGTCCAGCTCTTCATCCTTGGCATCTGGGTTCTATGCCCAGGCATACTTCTCTTCACTCTCTCTGCACCCTGCTTGGCACCATGTGAGCAAGACTGGCCTGGCCTCTTGGAGGGATATGGGCTGATTTTAGCCCAATTGGTGACTAGTGTAATTACAATTCCAATAAATGGTTACTGTTTCAAGCCACTGTGTTTTGGGATCTTTTGTTACTCAGCATAGCTAACTGAGACACCTTTCTCTCTGCCATTTCACACATATCAATCGAGTCATGTCCATTGTAACCACAAAATGGTCTTCCAAGCTGACCCCTTCTCTCCGCTCCCACTGCACACACCCTAATTTAGTTTACCATCTTCTCCTGGGGTGATATGTCTTAACATGATCTCCCTGACCCTTAGCTGGCCTCGTCTGATCCACGCTTCACATAGTATAAATACAGGCAGGTTGTTTCCCATCAAGCTTGTATAAAGCACAGACACAGCCCTCTTCTTGCCTGACCTGTTGTGAGTCTTGCCCCTTCTCCCCATCACGCTCCACACCCCGTCCACACAAATTACTGGTGTTCCCAGGGGCATACCCTGCCTGACCTCACACATCATCTTCCCTCTCACCTCATTCTCCTCTCCTGGCTGCCTCCTGTCCATCCTTTAGACCTTGGCTTGGATGTGATTGCCTCCAGGAAGCCTTACCAGGCTTCACCCCACCCAAGTCTAGGATTAGTTCCGTCTGTCTTGTCACAAGACCCCATATGTCCCAACAAACTGTGTGTCAGACCTGGATTTTTGTCTTGTGCTTCCTCCCTCCCGCCCCCACCTTCTGTCGGAGAGAAGAAAAGAATCAACGGGCTCCCTAAGAATAAACCCAGGAAATAGTAATCCTGAGACGCTGCTTGTGTATTGGGCCTTAGGGATTGGAAGCCACTGCAATCACTTTCTTCTTCTGTAGCATCGACGGCTCACAAAGTCCTCATGGCTGGGTGGGCAGGTTCACTCCCACTCTCAACAAAAATGCCAAATCACTAAGAGGCTGGACCCTATTCTCCCAGCAACATGTGACACAAGTCTGCCTTCTGGACGCCACCCCTCCCTTCTTAGACCTGCCACAGGGCTGGCCGTGCACTGTTGAGATTTCTCTAGGGCAGAATGTCCATAACTTCCTTCGCCTTCTCCCTCTTGGCTTCGAGTTAGTACTGGTCAATCAAAATGGTGCACCGAGTGGCACCAAGACAGGTCCAAGACCCCCAGCTCTGCCCTCAGAGCTATGAGGCATGTTCCAGCCTGAGAACCAGCCCTCGTCTGTCCTTCCTTCCCTGAGCCCCCTCAGAACCGATCCCACCCCGAAGGACAGATGTTTTTGTACAGGAGCTTCCTTACAAACAGAAAAACCGTAAGTGCTCTGTGAAAGTCGTGGGGTTGAAACAATAACGCAAGCCGACGCTGGCCCTGCCCGCAGTGATGTGCAAGGGGGGCTCTGATTTAAGACGGGGGCCGGCTGCACCAATCAATTACCGTGCTGGTTGCCGTAGGTTGAATATCCGTTTCCACCTGTAAGGGGAGAAGCACAGAGTCATTCATTTATCCAGCAGTTTGTCGATGCCGTCTGTTGCCGGGCAGTGTGGAGAGGCTGAGAATGTGGCAATGAGCAGAACAGACAAAAATCCCTCTTCTCAGGGACCTGACCTTCCGGTGGGGGAGGGGACAGAAGGTCACTGTTAGGAAGGAGGGGTGTAGATGCTACTTCTAAGGTGAGGAGTGGAATGGGGCGATGAAGGGAGAGAGGAGTGCGGTTTTCATCTCAGGAGTCAGGAATATACACACATGCGCATACACGTGTAACTCACACAGACACACACCCACATGTACACACAAACCCCACAAGTGCACATGTGTAAACATCTACCTGCGTGCACAGGCATACACAGGCACACACACACACACCCGTAAGCACACGTGCACATGTATGCACACATCTACACTCATGCACCTATGCACACATGCATGCACACAGGCAAATATATGCACGCACACGCACAGGCACACACTTGCATACACGTGCACAAATATGCGTGCACACACACACAATAACACCTGTAAGCGAGCCTTAGTTCCTTTCAAGAATTTAAGGCTACGTCGCATGCAAAACATCTTCCCCCACCTCCGGTGCCCCAGGAGGACACAAAGTACAGACTCAGGTGGTCAGTTAGTTACCAGGCAGGAGACAATAGGACAAGCTTCCCACGGAGTGTTAGTTCCCTGGAAGGAGGGCTTCTCCTCACACAGGTTTTAAGAAATCATTCCATTACCATAAGTGTTTCCATTTGAGCGGGGTCTATAGGGTCTATAGCGCCCTCCTCCTGCAGGACAGAGAGATCTCATGAGATGAAAGATAAGGCTCGGGGAGTCACAGTGACATCTCGAAAGGAAGCACCCATGCAAAAGCCAGCACCCTCGAAGCAAGATGCTGTGAGAGGCTGCCAAGATTTCACTCGAGCTCTCCCCATGCAAAGGGAAAGGGCGCAGCCACAGCGGGGTGCCCTCTGACTACACAGACTGGCAGCCGACATGGCCCTGCAAACCGAGGGGGTCTGCTAACACCCTTGAGAACACATGGTGACTGGGGCACATTGCACCCACATCCCCGAGGACCAGGGCTTCACTTAGCCAGTGTGCAAATACGCTCTCTGTGCAGTCAAAAGAATCCCCCACTCGATGTTTGTCGGGATGAGACTTTGACAGAAACGCAGACTATAAATAGTCATCACGGCCAGTAAAAAACAACGGGGATTTCTCTACACCTTCTTCTTATGTCTTGAGAGCAATTTTTAAGGAAAGATTTCAGATTAAAACAAAATGCTTGGTGCTAATTTTGTTAATTTTGGAGTGGAATAGTTGAATGTGGGTACTATTTAAATATTGAGGGGTAATTTTATAACCTGCCTCTTCAAAGTGGACAGCAGGAGTTACGGGGTTAATCGTGTTTCACAAACCCGTATATTTGAGTTTTGACCCCTAGGACCTCAGAATGTGTCTGTTTACAGGGATGAGTCTTTAAAGAGGTGATGAAGGTAAAATGAGGTCATGAGGGTGGGTCCTGATCCAATAGGACTGGGGTCCTTATGAGAAGAGGAGATGAGGACACAGACACACACAGAGGGACGACCACGTGAGGACACGGGGAGAAGACGGCATCTACATGCCAAGGAGAGAGGAGGCCTCAGGAGGAACCAGCCCTGTGACACCTGGATCTCAGAGTCCAGCCTCCAGAACCGGGATAAATAAATGTCTGTTGTTTAAAGCACCCAGTCTGTGGTGCTTTGTTAAGGCAGACTGAGCAGAGTCCTACAGTGGGTATTAGAGGACCTGTCCGATGAAACCCAGCACTTAGGATGACTGAGACACTTCTCCACATCACTGGGAGGGATGACAGACGTAGGGCACACCCTCCCCTGCCGGCCGAGGTTAGCTCTGGCCTCTTTGCATCCTGCCTGAGGAGGGAACATTCCAATCATGTTTTGCAGCCTGCAGAGAGAAGCTGGGTGACTCACCCAACTGTTGCTTAACCCAAAACCTCTGTGCTAATCCGAGGGCTGACTCAGAGCCTCGCCCAGCTCAGGGCCAGAGGACGGGGGCCCCAGACACGCACAGGAGCAGATCCTCTTTTCAAGTGCCGGACACAAGATTGAGCGTGCAACCTCCAAAACTGTGTTGTGGCTCCTGTGTGCCAAACCAGCTGCTGTCTGCACGTGGTCCCGCCCACAGGCACAGGATGCTTTGCAGAAGTGTGGCCCCGAAGATAAAAGATCAGCCAGATGAGTGATCTTTCATCCACTGCGGGGCAGGCCCCCGAGAAATGCTGGTGCCTGATAAGAGTCCTGACTAATTTCCTGGGAAAACATGTAGAAACTCACAGGGTTCCTGAGAACACTACCAGAGGAGTCATTTCTTTCTAACTTATGAATCAAGCAAAGACCAAAAAGACACGCCCTAGAAAAGATCTGTACAGAGGGAGAATCTTCAGAGCCGCGCGTGTAGGGTAGAAAGGCTCCCCTGAATGGGAGACTCCCCTGGGCTAGAGGGACATGGGGGCATCTGATGATAAAACGCTCCACGTGGCTATTTATAAAAATACTGAATTTGCTGCATCTCCATCATTTCAGTAGGAAGAGGATGATGGGAGCATCACATTAGCAATGTGCTGATAGTTTAAAGCTGATAGTTCTTGACTTCACTCAGCTAACTTTCACCCATGATCTGTCCCATCCTGGGTTTGCACACCTCGTAGGGACAGTTATGGGAATGGGGTCACCTATATGGTGTCAGATGTCTATCCCTTAAAGTGGACCACTTCAGCATCATATTTTGTCTTTATTTTGTAAATTGGAGACAATAATAACTCCTGCTTCAGAGGTTAGGAAGATTCATGGGCCCACATCCCAAAAGGACCGCACATCTTGTAGAACTCCATACAAATACTACTTTCCACCAAAAAGATAGTTATTCAATTCACTGAAGATGTTCAAAACCCTTAACAAATGGCAAACAGAAAAAAAATAATAACGGAAATGATTTAAAATCAACCGGTTCAGATCCCAGGTGCGCACCGACACGCCGCTTGTCAGGCCATGCCGTGGCGGCGTCCCATATAAAGTGGAGGAAGATGGGCACGTATGTCAGCTCAGGGTCAGTCTTCCTCAGCAAAAAAGAGGAGGATTGGCATGGATGTTAGCTCAGGGCTGATCTTCCTCACATACACACACAAAAATCAATCAGTAGATTGATTGATGCGTGAGGGCGTCAAAATCTACAAACTTTCAGTTATAAAATAAATAAGTCCCAGAGATGTAACATACAGCATGGGGACTATAGTTAATAATACCATATTGTGTACTGGAAAGTTGCTAAGAGAGTAGATCTTGAAAGTTCTCATCACAAGAAAAAAAAATGTGTAACTATGTGTGGCGATGGCTGTTAACTAGACTTATTGTGGTGATCATTTCACAATATATACAAATATCAAATCATTATGTTGTACCCCTGAAACTAACAAAATGTGCATGCCAATTATATCTCAATAAAAATTATATCTCAAAAATTATATGCCAATTATATCTCAGAAAAAAAAATCCATAGAATTTTCTTTTCCCAGCTAAGACATTTTGCTCCCAATCTTCCCTTCCAGAACCAGAGAATGTCTGAGGACTCCAAGATCCATTGATCTCTCTGAGGAACAGCTCCATCCAGACCAGAAGCCGGTTTATCTCTCCTGTGGAAATTCCTTTCATTCTTGGCATAATCCACCACCCTGACAAAGAGTCCCCAGTCAGTCCGATATCGTCTCTCTAATGAGTCTTGTGATTCATCGCTCTGTTTCTTTCTACGTGAACAAAGGTGGGTAGGGCAGCCCGTGGACCCCTGGAGAGCAGAGCCAGGCCAAGCCAGAGGGTCAGCGCAGAGAGGGCTCAGAAGACAGATGCCAGCAGAGAGAGATCCAGCACCCCAGACCTCAGGAAGAAGGAATTGTGGCAATGCAACTGGGAGGTCTGGAAATTCTGCCCAACCCTGCTGCCCACCAAGGGCCCCAGGGAAGGATGTACCATATGTGTTTCCGTAGCCACCATAACCAGGGTGGTGGCCGCCACCTCCTGTGGGAGAGAAGGTGCAGTTGGGAGATGATCCGGCTGTGGAGCTTGGAGTTTCAGCAGGCATCCTCCTGGGTCGTTGGTGACGGCACCAAAGCCATGCCCAAGCGTCAACCCAAAGAGAGCCCCATATAGTAGCAAAGAGCAGGGCCCACGGGGGCACAATCAAGGGCGCTCCCGCCAATGTCATGACTTCCCAGTGGGAAAATTCACACCAAGATGGAGCCATCTAGAAAACCTGTTGCCTTCAGAGAACACACATGCACCCCGAGGGCTCCAAATTAATGCAGAGAAATTTGAGCAGGGCCAGCGACCCAAATACAGAACCACCTTTACCAGAAGGAAGATTGGGCAGACGATCCCACTCATAATGTTCTATATTAGAGACTAGGAATTTTTACTTTTTTCTGATCATTACTGTAGTAAGCTTTAAGACAAAGCTATTTCTTTACCACATCTAAACATCACACAAAGGTGACTGGATGTAACCTGCTTGTCCAGACAACGAATATGCCCCTTGAAAGGGTATCAGGGACAAGTCCCTTAACTCTTCTAAAATGAAATCGCAGAACTAAATAGATGAGAATCCTTGCAAACTTGAAGATAAAGCCTCACATGTTATACCCTGGAGCCCAGAACTGCTGCTTCTGTCTCCTAAGTGATCTGTACTTTTATTTATGTGCGAAGGATTCTAGTCAGGCATTCACATTCCAATCATACAGAAGAAGCTACCTAAAAGTCTTATATATACACACATGCGTGTGTAAAGATCTATATATAGATATACATACACATATAAACATATATACACATATAAAAGTGTATATAAGTAAATGTATATAAAATATATAAAAAGATATATCATACACATATAAAGATACACATAAGTGTGTATATATAAAGGTATGTATACACTCTCATATAAAATATATACATAAAGTATAAAGGTATATATATATGTATTTAAACACAGGTACACATACATCTATATAAAGGTATATACATATAGGTGTATATATACATACACGCACATATATTATACATACATATATAAGAGGTATATACCTACATAATTTTATAAAAATGTATATATAGAGACACACATATAAATATATATATACATACATATATAAAAGCATGTATATAGATAAAGGTATATACATATAAATACAAATATATATATATAGAAACATACATACGTAAAGGAATATATATACACACACATATATAAAGATATATATGTGTATGTTTATATATAAAGGTACATAAATATATGTAAATATATGTAAATATTTTATATGTAAAGATACATATGTATGTATCTTTATATGTAAAGATACATATATGTATGTATATACACAAAGGAGTATATATAAAAAGATGCACACAAATATACACACATACACACACACACTTATATAAGGATACATATATAGAGAGAGGTATATATACATAAATACAAAGATACACAAAGAGAAGCTCGATCTCCATTGTTCCCACCACAGAAAATAACTGATAATTATATGCCAGGATAGAGCTGGTGATCATATTGCAACATACACATGTATCAAATCGACACTATGTACACCTTAAACTTACACAATGTTATATGTCAATTATCTCTCAATAAAAGTAAATTTAAAAAAGATATACATAGAGAGACATATATAAAGGTGTATATATATATATATATATGCGCACATCTCCATAAAGATGTGTGTATACCTATATATGTGAAGATATGTGTGCACACGTATATATGAAGGTGTGTGCATGCACAGGTACACGCAGACACACACACATGCACATATATGTGTTTACATGGAGACAACCACCACTTTTAAACGGAGACAGTCCCATTGCCAACTTTCGCCCACACCACAAACCCTGGACAGACGTGTGGACCAGACCCCCACTGGATGTTGGAGGGGTGAGCCCCGCACCCCCACCTTCCACTTGGGATTGACCTTGTGCCCAGGCGAGGGGGCCACAGCTTCCCCATCACCCTCTCCAGCCAAGTCGGAGAAGCCCCGCACGTACCTGCCGGCGGCCTGGGTCTGGGTGGGTAGCGGCCATCGTCCCGGTCCACGTCATTAAAGAAACCTGTGGGGGAGAGCACAGGGCGGGTCCCGAAATGCTTTCCAGAGAGCCCCCGTTAAACCCAAGCCTGTGTGAGGGATATGGGGAAGCTTATGGAGAACAAGGTTCCCACACCAGCAGGCCCTTTCCAGGAGGTCAGGGCCACCAGGGGACCAAACCTCCAAGTGTCCCTGAAGCCATCGGGGTGGGCTGGCGGCCCTCTCTCCCAGAAGAGTGTGTGGGGAACCCACTAGCCTGGGAAGGGTGATGGATTGGACAGACCCCGTACAATTTGAGAATTTGAAAAGAAATACCAACTGGGGAGGACAGAAAGATGACCCTTCATCCCTCAGACACCAGGCTGGTCCACGCTCTGGGCCTCTGCACATGCCATACTCTCCACTCCATCCAGCTGCCTTCCTGGCTCAGCCCCCTGCTAAGATGACCTCCACCTTGGATGGCGTCCTGTAGATTCCATATTTACCCGTCTGTTTGTTCCTCTGCCCCCACCACACTGCACGGGGGGCACAGTCCGTTTGGACACTGATGAACCTCCATGCCCAGAACAAGTACCTAGTAAGACTCAATTAAATGATTCAGAATTCATAAGCAAGCCAGCAGAAGCTGCTGTCTTCAATACTGGTCTGGGCGCAATGGTACAAAGTCGCCAGGTGCACTATCCTACAACAGTCACGCGGTGCAACATGCACGGACCGGGCTCCCTGGCGGAGGCTTCATCCTGGGTCAGCCTTGGTGTCCCAGCTGGGAGTGTGGAGTATGGTTCCCACTCTCTCCCCTCTCCCCATCCTGGAGCATCCAGGCCTGATTCAGGAGGGGGCAGGGCGGACGTGCGTAAGTCTCTTTGAATTGTTGGTTTCATGTTCTTTGGATAAATACCCAGGAGTGGAATACCTGGATCATATGGTATTTCTTTTTTTTTTTTTTTTTTAAAGATTTTATTTATTTATTTTTCCCCCAAAGCCCCAGTACATAGTTGTCTGTCATAGCTGCACATCCTTCTAGTTGCTGTATGTGGGACGCGGCCTCAGCATGGCTGGAGGAGTGGTGCCTCGGTGCGCACCCGGGATCCGAACCCGGGCCGCCGGCAGCGGAGCGCACGCACTTAACCGCTAAGCCACGGGGCCGGCCCTCATATGGTATTTCTGTTTTTAATTTTTTGAGAAATCTCCATACTGCTTTCCATAGTGGTAGCGTTATTCACAATAGCCAAGACATGGAAGCAACTCAAGTGCCCATCAACTGAAGAATGGATAAAGAAGATGCGGGCTATACGTACAACGGAATACTACTCAGCCATAAAAAAGACAAAATCGTCCCCTTTGGAACAACATGGATGGACCTGGAGGGCATGATGTTAAGTGAAATAAGCCAGACAGAGAAAGACAAACACCATAGGATTTCACTCATATGTGGAAGATAAACCAACACATGGATAAAGAGAACAGATTAGCGGTTACCAGAGGGGAAGGGGGTGGGGGGTGGGCTAAAGGGGTAAAGGGGCACATATATATGGTGACAGATAAAAACCACACTGTCGGTGGTGAACATGATGCAGTCTATATGGAAACTGATAGTTAATAACGTACACCTGAAATTACGCAATGTTATAAACCAAGATGACCTCAACAAAATAATCATATTAAGAAAAAAAAAAGAAATATATGTTTGATCTTCATCCCTGGTCCTGGCACAGAACTCCTACACCCTTGGAATTTCCTAAGTGGTGAGAGCCATAAAGGTGTCTTTTGAGAGTCCTAACAAGTGGCTTTCAACCATACCTGACTGTATTTTAATAAGGTGACTTCTGGAACGCACCTGAGGATGGGGGCTGGTTGCCAGGGTAACCAACCTTTGTGATTAGAGGGTTGGAACTCTCAGTCCCATCCTTGACCTCCAGGGAGGGGAGAGGGATGGAGACTGAGTTCCATCTCCAATGGCCAACAACTTCATCAATCATGCCTACATAATGGAGACTCCAGAAAAACCCAGAAGGATGGGGTTCAGAGAGTTTCTGGATCAGTGAATGCATCCTCCTGCTGGAGGGTGATGCACCCAGACCTTGCCCTGTGTATCTCTTCATCTGGCTATTCATCTCTATCCTTCATCATATCCTGTATAATGAACTGGTAAAGGTTTCTGTGAGCCACTCTAGCCAATTGATGGAACCCAAAGAGGAGGTCGTGGGAACCTCCCATCTATAGCTGGTGGGTCAGAAGCACAGGTGACATCCTGGACTTGCGATGGGCATCTGAAGTAGGGGCATCTGTGGGACTGAGCCCTTCACTTGTGGGGTCTGATGCTCTCTCCAGGTAAATGGGTCAGAACTGAGTCAACCCCCTGGTAGTGTCAGAAAACACACCCATCAGATAGACCATGGGAGTCACCCACTGGTTCCCATTTGGGAAACTCCAATATGGTAACCTGTGCCCTGCAGAATTTCCCTGCCTGCTTCTCAGTCAACTTGCTCACCAGGAGCACTTGTGTTTTTTAATTATTTTTTCAAAATAAGATCAAATTTCATATGCAAAGCGGTCTGCACAGCTCACTTTGGGGTTAAGCCACTGCTGTTTCTAAAGCTCTTGTAGGCACCAAATGTTGGTACTCTTTTCTGGGGATGTTGACATGTGAACTCTGGTGAGAAGGGGATGGTGATTGTGGCCTGGGCTGCCTGCTGGAGGGCCTGGAGGATAGTCCGTATTTTGGAATTGGAATAAACCTCAGGGCCTTTAGTGGTGGGGCAAGCCTGTCCCCTGAGCCCGGCTGCTGGAAATGAGCAGCTTTGGGGTGTCGGGGTGCTGTGGGGGTGTCAGGAAACAGTGGCACCCGTGGCCAGTGATGGTTGTCCCAGACACGAAGCTGTGTTCTCTACTCCGGTTGGACTCAAGCCATTATCCTGGATCCCCACGCCCCCCCCACTCTCCACTCACATCCTGCAACCACAGGAGGTCCTAGTGGAGATCCCAGCCCTACTTCCTCTCCAAGAGCTGAGAGATACTGCAAAGATGCACCTGTGAGAGAGGACGGTCTGATGGCCCTAAGCATCCTCTTAGTGAAAGAGACCTTATTCTCCTGGTTTGTGAGATCCATAACTATCTCTGGGTCTCTTCTCTCCAAATTCACTCCCTATTGAAATGATTCAGTCTTTATCTCTAAGAAATCCACCTGGAGATGCACAGCCCTCACATCAGGGTGAAAAATGTGCCACTGAGGTTAATGAAAAGTGTGAAGTGCAAAAGGCAGGCAGGGGTCCTTTGCTTTCTTCCAGAAAAATCCGCTCCCTCGTTGAAGCCTTCCCAGAGCTGTGGGGACCCCCAATAAAACAGCGTCCCCAAACTTGTCTTCTGAAGTGGAAGATACGGTAGCCTCATCAAGGTGAGACTCAAGGCTCTGGAGAGCCCAAGACATCCATTTTATTTTCTTTAAAGTGGTGTATCCGCAAACGTCTTTGAGCAGAGGACAGCCTTGATGGGGACCTCTTATTCACATCTTGCAGGACAATGTGAATCACAAGACCAGAGATTTGGGGCAGTAGGGGGCTGTTTTGCAGCATTCCAGCAAATGGGGTTGAGGATATGTGCCCTGATGGAGGGGTTTAAGGCGTGAGCCCTCTGTCGGCTCAGATATTGTTCACGCAACTGATCTTTTTTCAGAACCCACTGTGTGCCACGCGTTCCTCTGGGGAGACAGCATCAAATGAAGCCAACATCCATGCCCGTGTGGAGTTCTCATTCTAATTCAGGGAAATCAACTAAAAACAGTTGAAGGCATTGCGTATTAGTATAAAGTGGTTCAAGGCGAAGGGATTCGGAGAAGGGGATCGCAGGGGAGAGAGGGACATGCAGGGATACCAGTGCAGGACTGGGAGGTCTCGTCTTGGACCAGAGATGGCCCCAGAGGCAACACCTGTGGGAGATGGGAGGAAATGGAGCTCGGACATACCTGAAGCTTGTCCAGTTGGACGTAACCAAGAGTATTTTGGACCCTAGGAATTTGACATCTCAACAACGTCTACGGAGAACTGGAATCAGTGAAACTTCTCATTCTCAAAGCTTATAGAATTTAGGATACCCAACATATTCTAGCTTTCTCCAGCACCCATCGGTCTGCACACACGTGCACCTATGCTGTGGAATTACTGTGGAATTATCCACTTTCGTGGGCCAGCATCCCTGTCCTGAGTGGTCTTCCCTCTTGCGCATAATTTGCCAACATCTCATGTGAAATACTGCAGGAACTTGAGAAAAGTGGCCCCCAACGGCTCGTATAAGGGGAAGCAAAAGTCAACAGAACGTCAAACAAAAATAGACAAAAAAAGAATGTGCTTTCTCGAGAACATGGAACGTCTTTGGAGCACTGCCTTTTTCAGTCCGGAAGCCAAATGAAAATAAAACGTGTTTGCCGCCAATGTACCCCCAGGAGCCAGTGGGAAGCAGAGCGGATTCCTCTTAACAGGACCTCCGTGTATTTCAAAAGCAATTAGTATTTCCCCACGGAGGACAGAATGTCACGATGTGAAACGATAAATTGCATCCTGGGGCTGCTGAAACAAGTCAGGATACTCACGACTCTTACCTCCACTGTTGTCGGAACTGCCAGGATACGGACGAGGCGGAGGCTTTGGTCTTGGGTCGATATCTGTTGGGAAACACCAAGGGGATTTTAGGAAGAGTGACAGCTTTCAGCAATGAATCAACCACACAGTGAAGAAGACGGAAATACAAAATAACATTACGGCTTATCTATATCTGCTGTTCATGGCATTTATGGAGACTCTCCTTCAGTCAAAAACCATCAACAGTCATGCATCGCTTAATTACGGGGACGTGTTCTGAGAAATGCATCATCAGGTGATTTCGTAGTTGTGTGAACATCACAGAGTGAATTTACGCAAACCCAGATGGTACAGCCTCTTATACACCTAGGCGACGTGGAATTATTCTTATGGGACCACTGTCGTCTGTGTGGTCCATCGTTGACCAAAACATCTTTCTTCGGTGCATGACTGTAGTTAAAATCTCCAAGCAGGAAGCTTAAAAAACCACTTCATCTTTGTGCCCAGAACGTCCTTACCTGGTGCTTATGGCAAGAAGCTCGCAGATTCGTGAAATTAATACGGCAGGTGCTCAACTGTTAACGTTCCAATGTTGAGGCTTATCGCCAATGGTAGATGTTTACAAAAGTCACCAATCTTAGGACAAAAGCATCTCACACTTTGACGGTGTGTTACATACTTTCCACCTGACGTGTATACATTCTCTCACTGGAGTTTCTTAACTTTTGTCCCAATGCCCTTGACCTGTCCTTCGAGCTTAGCCCAAGCTTCCAGCCCCAGGGCCTTTGCATATGACATTCTTTCTGCCAGGATCTCCCTCCCACCTCCTGTCAGTCACTGTACGCACTCCACAAATATCTATGAGCCTATGTGCGACGTGCAAAACATCACGTCACCCTTCATGTCTCTGCTTCACTGTCTCGTGTACCTATCGAAAACAGCTGAAATAAATAATTGATTTAATTTCCTCACAAAATTTAATTTGCACATCATCAATCTGCATCTCCAGGACCTGAGCACCAGGAGGCTGGAAACTCTGTTTTCTGCACCACATTTATCTTCCCAGCACCCGGCTGCCCTCAGTACCCGGCAGGTGCCCTTCAGTTAAATGACTTCAATTCAGGGCAAAATGCAGGAATTTCATTCTGGAAGTCCTCCTTTGGGACAGCCATCTTGGAAAACCGGAAACCTGAGCTGTGTCCAATGGTTTTTCATTTCTTGGAACAGACTCTCTTCTGATGTCTTTAAAATCGTACAAATGTGGGAGATTTCAGAGGCTTGGGGGGGAGGGCACAGCTGGAGGGGTCCAGATGAGGTTTGGTTCACACGGCAGGAAACAGAGCCCCACGTGCTGAGGGTCTCCCTGTGTGGTCAGTGCTCACTCCAATGACCCCTGTCCTCCTCCGAAACCTTCCTCCCCCTCGCCCACAGCCAACAGCTCCACCCACTTGCTTCCTGGGGGACCACTCGAGTGGAACCAAGTGCCTCTGCACAAAATTCTCCGAGAGCCCTTGAAAACGGGCATCGTCAAAACGTTGCACCCAGAACACGCATTTCTCGAAAGTCGGTCCATGGTTGCCCTGCACCCTCGTCCTCTGAGACCTTCACGTGGTTCTGAACCTCATTCCCAACTTCCCAGTGAAACCCGTCATTTAAATACAGGGTTCTTCAGAAGCAGAGGAACTTCAGATGCACAAGAGTACAAACGGATACGTTTGTGGATTTAAGCAAATTCTTCAATGTTAAGCAAAGCTTCCAAATTAGTCTGCTCAAGCTAACACAATAAAATACCACAGACGGGGGCGCTTAATCAACAGACATTTATTCTCTTGCAATCCTGGAGGCTAGAAGTCCGAGATCCAGGTGTGAGGAGGGCTGGTTCCCACTGAGGCCTCTCCCCTTGGTGTGTAGACGCCGTCTTCTCCCCGTGTCCTCACGTGGTCGTCCCTCTGTGCATGTCTGTGTCCTCGTCTCCTCTTCTCATAAGGACACCAGTCCTATGGGGTCAGGACCCACCCTAACGACCTCATTTTACCTTCATCACTTCTTTAAAGACCCATCTCCAAATACAGCCCCATTCTGAGGTCCTGGGGGTCAGGGCTCCAACATGTGAATTTTAGGGAGAACACAATTCATCCCATGACAGTTTCCAGCAAACAGAATCTATGCCTCCCTCTTGATCACTTTCAAAACCACATAGACACCAGCTACTACCGTCGGATGAGAGAATCAGAGAGCAAAACTGGGATGTCTCTAAGGGGCAGGCGCAAAGACCAGGAACAAACCCAGCAGCAGGACTGAGAAAAGCAATAGAAGCCACAAGAGAAGCCAAGAATAATTAACGGGATCAGAGAAGAGGTAGGCAGAGGAGAATGTTACATTCTCGAGGTCTAATTCTCAGAGCAGGGGACCACTGGCCTCAGGGGTCCCCGTAGTCATCCTAAAGGGACTTCCTGTAAATCTTCCAGCCATCTATCAAGTCACCGGGGTGGAGAGACCTTGGAGAAACACCTAGAATATTCCCTCTGCAGATCCTTTCTCAATGTCACTCATCCACGATGGCCTTCCTTGTACACGGAACATGCTGGAACTCCATCTTCAAATTCAAGGAACTTTTCACCCCTGCTTTCAGTGATTGTTCTTCTTCTCAAGACGCATATGCAGGAGCCTGGGCAAGCCTGCGCCAGCCTGGGGCAAGCACGAGATTTCAGGACAGCTTCTCCTGTATTGCAGTTCCCATCATTAAGTTCTCACCAACTCAATTTCCCATTTGTTAGTGTGTGTGTGTTGGATTTTCTCCTTGCCTGGGTCAAAAAAGACTGCATAGTTTCACATCAAATACAAATGAATAATTCGGTAAGGCCCCTCACCACCGGCCACTGGGGGGTTGAAGCAAAGCGTGAAAATAAACCCCAGAAATCCCCATCCCTCTTGATTCTGGAATGTGTCGGCTGCTGGAGCCCTGAGTCACACACGGAGGGTCACCCCCCGTGCTGAGCCTTGCCCCCACACCCTGCGGTTGATGAGTCAGTCCGGTGCTGGCGATTCATCTTACGGGACAGCCAACATTTAAAGTTTTCAGGAGTCCTGCAGGGGGGTAGCCCATGGTAGCTTCTCCCAAATATTTGGAGCAAGAAAAACTTTCCATGAAGGATTCCCATTGGTACCGCATAGAACAGTGGTGCTCCATGGGACTATATATATATATATGCATACACACACACACACATATATATATGTCCTTTTTTTTTTTTTTGATGAGGAAGATTGGCCCTGAGCTAACATCTGTGCCCATCTTCCTCTATTTTGTATGTGGGACATCGACACAGCATGGCTTGATGAGCAGTGTGTAGGTCCGTGCCCGGGATCCAAACTCATGAACCCCGGGCCGCTGAAGCAGAGGGCGTGAACTTAACCACTACGCAACTGTGCCGGCCACTGGGACAACAATTTTTTAAAAAATACTGGGAGGAAATATTATGAAAAAAACCTATGGAATTGGGGATGTCTATAATGGAAGAAAAAAAAATAAGAAAGATGAAATGTTGACTTAACCATCCTGTAACTAGTGCAGTTAATATTAGGTGTTGCTTTTCAAACAAGTAACAGCTTCTTTGGACCTTAGTCCTTATTTTTAGAGACCCCTCCTGCGAGGAGATGAATTTCCACCCATCGAAATGTCAGAACAAGTTTCCAGGAAGCTTCCAGAAGCCCTAGACTTAGCCGGCTTCACGCTGCTCCATGTTGTCTATCAGGTTTTAGGTTTTTAGGGTGATTGAATTGCTGAGGACTTTACCGGCCAATATTTCCTTTTTTTTTTTTTTTTTTAAAGAAATATGTGGGAGCAGTACCTGCCACCTTTTGGAAACGATGGAGAAACTGAGGATAAATGACGTAAAATGCACAGTGCAAGTGAGCTTTCTTGAATGTGAATGCCCAAGTTATTTGCAACCCTGCAAACCAGCTAGAAAGAGAACCTGTCCCCCAGCCTAATTAAAACTCTGCCACATGAACACGCCGTGTGCTCTGAGGACACCCTATTTTCCAGGTGTCAGTGCACCGGAAAAATGAAATTACTGGTGTTGGCTCAACTCCGACGGAATGAAGCTCTGTTCCCCGCATGGCAGGCGGGCTGTGACTTATTCCAGAAGCAGCCAGATGACAACTTCTAGTCAATAAAAGCCAAGTTTCATCCCCAACCAGGTCTGAAATGAGTCTGAATGCTGAGAATTCTTACTTCCGCCGCTGTCGGGAATTCCAGGCTGCGGGCGATAGGGGGGTTTCGGCTTTGGGTGGATATCTGCGGGGAAAATGACATTGGGTGTTTAGAAGAGAAAGATATCCTTCTGTCACGAGCAGCCTATAAAACAAGAACATTAGTGCGAGCATAGACTTTACATTTTATTCACATTTGCTGCTCAGGCTGTTCTAGATTACCATTGACCCGCTAAAACTCACTTAACCACTAGGGGGAAAACCTCAAAACCTAACTGAGAGAAAAACACACACACACAGTCATTTTTGTTCCTAGAAGCTAGTTTTCGTGCAAAAAGATGGTAGGGCTGCCTGTAATGATGGGGGCATGAGATCCAAAAGGAAATCTTGGAAGAGCTGTTCTCGGATAGATTTATCAAAATAGTAACAGCTGGGTCCCTTTAAGCCCCTCATCCCACCTCTTTCCCAGAGAAAAAGACTGGAACACTATTCTACAATCAGTGGATGCCTCTCTCAAACGATTTTCAAAACGTTACTATGTAAGTGTGTGCCCATAAATGATACGTAGTTTCTTTGATGCATTTTTAAATCAACATCAATATTTTTTTTTATTATGCATACTCTTATTCTGCTTGTTTCTCTCTCTTTTTAAAACTGCTTATTATATATATTTTTTGAGATATGATTGGCATATTATGTTGGCTTCAGGGTGTACAACATAACGACTCGATATTTATATACATTGAGAAGAGATCATCACAATTAATCTAACCTCCCTCAGCATACATGGTTACAAGAAGCATTTTTTTCTTGTGATGAGAACTTTTATGATCTACTCTCTTAGCGACTTTAGCACTACAATACTATTAACTATGCTTATTGTGTATCTTGAGACGGCATTCATTCCAACGCACGCAGACCTAGTTCTTTCAACAGCTCCATTGCCTGTTTCCACGACGACCTATTTGAAGAAAATTTTGTTGTTTGGGAGGTTTTTTTTTTGTTTTTTTTTGGCAAACAATGCTGCATCCTACTTTTTTTGCTTGTGCACCGCAGTGTGAGTTGTGGCTGTGTGTTTCCTGGAGCAGAAACGTAGGTATGCTCGTACTTAAATGGCTCTTCAAGTCATCTTTCAGAGTTAGCATTCATCCAGCAAGAAAGGAAAGCCTACGTTTACACACGTTGTTGCCAGAATTCAATCTGTTGGGTGTGGTTTGCATGACCTTTCACTAATTGTGGATGACCCTGAGTGCTTTTTCCCGCAAGTGTCGGCTGTGTGGTTTCCCGTCCTCTGAGCTGCCTGTGCACGGCCTCTCTATTTGGCTGTTTGTCTTTCTTGCAAGGAGCCATCTACATATTTTGTATGTTAAACCTCTGATGGTTATATGAACAGCAACTAGCTTCTTCTAGCCAGCTGTTTCTCTTTCCACTTTGGAGAGTCTGTAGTCAAATCTATTGTTATTACTAAAATTCTTTAGCATTGACCAATACAGCAAATTTTAAAAGTCTGTGCCTTTGGTATCTTAACTAAGAAAATGCTCATGACCCTGAGGTCATAAGATATATCTCTCTATTTTTCCAAAACTTTTAATGTGTTCCTTTCCACGTTTAGGTTTTTAATCCACCCACACTTTATTTTTAAGAATTGAGTGAGGTTGAGATTTAATTAGATGTTACCCACAAGGGCAGCCAACTGCCCCAGCCCTGCTTACATGGAATCACTGTCTCCTCCTCTGTTTTGTAGCTGTGATCTCTCTTGGTACCAAGTTATAATTCAGTCAAAGGTCCATTTCCAGGCCCTCTGAGCCCATTCATTCCTCTGTCTGCCTCTGAGCCCCCGAGTCCCTCCTTTCTCCACTGACTTGCCACCTACCCCTGGTCATATATCAGACATCTACCTGCCCACCGCTCTGTGTCTGGGCTTCTTAGTCAAACCTGGTGGTCAAAAAATTGTCTATCCTTGGACCAATGACAGACTGTCCTCATAACTAAATTAACTCTGCTACAAGAGTCTACACGTGTGAGCTAGAAAGTCTGAAAGGAACAACAACTGGAGAATATATTGTCACAATGAGACATCACCTCACACATGTTAGGATGGCTGTTATCAAGAAGACAAGAGATAACAAGTGTTGGTGAGGATGTGGAGAAAAGGGAACCTCGTGTGCTGTTGAGGGGAATGTAAATTGGTGCAGCTGCTATGGAAAACAGGTTCCTCAAAAAATTAAAAATAGAACTACTATATGATCCAGCAATTCCACTTCTGAGTATTTATCCAAAGAAGATGAAAACACGAATTTGAAAAGATATCTGCACCCTCATGTTTATTGCAGCATGATTTACAATAGCCAAGACCTGTGAATAACCTCAGTGTCCGTGGATGGATGAATGGATAAAGAAGATGTGGTATATATGCACAATGGAATACTATTCAGCCATAAAAAACAAGGAAATCCTGCCACTTGCAACAACATAGATGGAGCTTGAGGGTATGATGCTAAGGGAGATAAGTCAGACAGAGAAAGACAAATATCTTATGATCTCACTTATATGTGGATCTGAAAAAAAAACAAAGTCTTAGCTGCAGAGAACAGATTGGTGGTTGCTAGAGGCAGGGGGTGAGGGTGGGCAAAATAGACGAAGGTAGTCAAAAGGAAATAATAGTAAAGAAAGAATACACTGTTTAGGGACACACATCTAAGACAAAGCAAAATGGAATAAAGTGAAGGAAATAATCCATACAAAATTCAGCATACTATTTACCTTTGATGGGGGCACAGGAAGGGAATTCATAGGCAGATGTATGTTATTGCAAACTATTGGTTCTTGAATTCATCACTAAGTTAATTAAAATATAAAAAGGCTCTGCTTGGACTAGGATGATGGAGGGACATGAAACAGAGATTATAGTTAGTTCAAATTCTGTGCAACTGTATATATCTTTGCTTTACATCTTTATTTTATTTACATAAGCATTTAATGTATTTCTGTCATAATTAAGGACAAGCTAATTGTGGACGAGGGTATAGTCAGTCTTTACAGACTGGATACAAAAAAGTGATTCACATTTTCTCTTTGGTGGTTCAGGGGCTGTAATTCCTAGGCCCTCAGGCTTGTTAGTTGAGTTATTCAAATCTTTATTCTTAATAATATTTTCATCTGCCAGACCTGATATTTCTGGAGAAAGGCTTGCAAAAAATCTCTCACTCTGATTTTATTTAATATCCATCTAGACTCACTGGAGGTGCATGATGGATACAGATTGCTTTATCATCCTGGGGATTGTTCTTGGATGGATACATAGTAACTCTCTTTAGCCCAAGTAACTGTTAGTCCTTGAAGGTCATTTTGTCTGACATTGCTACATTCTTCTGGTTACTATTTGTCTCATGCATCTTTTTCCAACCATTTCTTTTCACCTTCTCCCTGGAATTATATTTCAAATGCTTCTCTTATAAATCACACATAACTGATTTTAAATTGCATTATCTAACCCCTGTCTTTAAAATATTTCTTAAATAATTTCACACCTGTGATAATTAATGTACATTATTGTTACTCTTTCATTTTTTTCTTCTTTTCTTTCTTTAAATTCTTTCCTGACCTCTACTTAGTTAATCAAGTTCACTTTACTCTTCCTTTTTCTCTCCTCAACTAATGCAGGAATTAAACATTCAATTTCTGTTTCGAACAAGAATATTTGAGTTTAAAAATGTCAAAAATGCAGCAATCTTGGATTACTTGAATTCAATTCTTCTCCTTCTCAACCTCTCTGTTACTGTTCCTTAGTATTTCACTTAGGAATTTAATTGCATCTTGTTGTTAACGCCAATGAGTTGGGGTTTTTTAAAACAGCCGATCATCATTTAGTTTTACCAATGTCTTAGTCACCATTGCCTTTTGCATCCCACTGTGCCCTTCTGGGTTCACATTCCTTCCTACTGAGGTAGGTAGTGCTTTCAGCAATATCCATGAGCAGACCAGGTTCATTCCACGAAAAGCCAGGCTCGCAGAGGGACAGGCTTGCTATTTTTAAATTTCCTGGCAGGAAGTGTACTTTCTGGACATTTCATATAAACAGAAATACACAATCTGTGTCCTTTTGTGTCTGCCTAGTTTCACCGAGCATCATATCCTCAAGGTCCATCCACATTGTAGTGTAAGTCAGTGTTTCATCCCTTTTTTATGGCTGTGTAATATTCCACTGTGTGGATGGACCACATTCTGTTTATCCATTCATCCATCAACGGACACTTGGGTTGTTTCTACCTTTCAGCTGCTGTGAATAGTACTGCTATGAACATGTATGTTCACGTTTTTGTTGGAGTCCCTTTTCAATTCCTTGGGGCATGTACCTAAGAGTGGAATTGCTGGATCATAGGGTAACTCCATGTTAAAATTTTGGGGGAGCCCCCAGACTGTTTTCCACAGCAGCTGCACAATTTCCCATCCCCACCAGCAGTGCCTGAGAGTTCCGATTCCTCCCATGTCTCAATTCTAGCCATCCTTGTAGGAATGTAGTAATTTTGTGATTTTGTGATTTTGTGATTCTGTGATTTTGATTTGCATTTCCCCAATAAGTAGGGTTTGCTTAACATCTGCTGATGGGTGATTGCTTGCACCTCCTTCACGCACTCTGAGACCCTGTGAACATCTTCACGCACCCCTCCGAAAACACCAGCTGGAGGGCATAGCCTCGGTTCTGCCCGGCCACATAGTCACCCACCTGAGCTCGGCTTCTTGGTGGGTTCTGTGAACAAAGAGAGAAGATACACTCAATAAGCATCGAGGATGTATCCACAGCTCAAAGAAAGAATCCTTAATACCCTAATCAAAAAATGAAAATTTCAAGGCACTAAAAATTAAGGGATACAAACACAAATTCCATTTTGTATTCAGAGGAAGAAAAACAAGCAAGACACCCTTAAAAATCCATGCCCACCAGGCTTCCCTGGACCGTCCAGGGGTCAGGGGTGGGGGGACCTTTAATGAGGTGTCAGCTTCACTCATTAGGAAGTAAGTTTGAGCAAAGACTTGCAGGAGGTGGGGGAGTGGGATTTCGGACACCTGCAGGAAAATCATCTTAGCATCCAGGGCAGGTGGGCGCACACCTGGTGCCCCACACACCAGAAAGGTGGCTGCGTGTCTGGTGAACGGTGATGGCAGAGGCTAAGGGAAAGATGGAGAGAGCCTTCTCACTTTCAGAACGATGCTCTCTCCCTCTCTTTCATGCATGCATTTATTCATTCAACAAACATTTATTGAGTGTTTGTTGGTGCCAGAGAGTGTGTAAACAAAAAATGAACCTCAAGGTTCATCCACATTGTAGCTGTGTCAGTGCTTCACTCTTTTGCCTGGCTGAGTAATATTCCACTGTATCGATGGACCACATTCTGTTTATCCGTTCATCCGTGGATGGACTTTTGGGCTTTTTCCACCTTTTGGTCATTGTGAATAATGTTGCTGTGAACACGTGTGTACATGTATATGATTGACTCCCTGCTTTCAATTCTCTCAAATATCTACCTAGGAGCAGGATTGCTGCTTCATACGTCAGTGGTGTCTTTTAGTCAATAAAACATCTTAGGTGATTCTGCATCTGAGCCCACAGCCTTGCCCCTCTCACAGCTGCAGGCCACCTCCTGTGGTGGGCATGCTCCTTCCTTATCCATCCCGTCCCCTAGTGCATTTTGGACGTTAATGCCCAGTGCCCTCCGTGCAGACTGGGTCGGACCGAGCCTCTCAACTTGCAGCCTGATGGGGGAAGTGGTGTCTCAACATTGGCGTGCATCATTAGGTTTTCGTATTGCCCTGACAATAATCTCATATCTCCTCTTTCACGGTTATGAACAGCGAAAGCCTCAGTTAGTGGGGAAAATCAGGGAGGGGGATGGTTTTGTATCGTTTGTTTGTTGGCCTTTTCTAAATTGGGCTCTGGTCCTCACATCCCATCTTCACTTCCTCCAGCAACCACCATTATCCCTCTGCGCTGAGTGACCAGTGGCTGCTCCCGCTGCCAGAGGCCGGCGGTCTTTCTCCGAGTAGGCAAGCTTTTCTCTTCCTTTCAAAAGAAAACCCCACTCCCACTGTGCCTGCAAGCCAAACCCATTCCTCTCTCCCAGCCAGCCAGGTCCCAACACCCCTGCCTCTCGGCTAGACTTTGGGCCTTCCTCAGACCTTCCTCCAGGGTCCAGGAGACAGATACTCAGCTTTCTGGGCAGCAAGAAAGTCTGACTGAAGCCGAGGGTGGTGAAGACACAGGTGTGGGGGTCTTTCAAGTTGCAAATGCCCCATGAGTGGAGGCGGCCAGAGGGCCCGCCGGGAGGAAGGGACACAGCCGGCCTGGGAGGGAGGCAAGCTGCATTCGATTGGTCTCGGCCAGGACGTGAGGCAGCATCGACTAAGAACCAACATTTAAGAAACTCAAAAACTGATGGAAGATGCCCAGGCCACTGGCTTGGGGAGCATAGACGTACCTAGAGACTGAGCTAAGCCCCACTCCTGCTGCATCCTTGGCCAAGAGACTTTTGGACGGGGCAAAGGTCCCTCTCCAACTGCCTGCCATCTCGGTGAAGACCAGACATCTCACTGCCCAGGAATTCTGCATCCCGGCCCCACCCAACCCCAAAGCTGATGCTGCAAAAGCAAAACTCCCCTGGAAATATTGGCACTCACCGGGGTCATCCAAAGCATCAGCCAAGTCGAAGTCCCTTTGACCTGTCAGGAAGACACAGCGTAAGTGACACGGCGATGGGATGGTCAGGGCTCCTGGGCTCCTGGTGCCAAATCCAGGCTGCCTCCCTTTACCCTGTCCACCCGCTAAGCCAGAGGTTCCCCCTCAGTGCAAAGGTCACTCCCACTGGGAGCTAAGCAGAGGGTCAAATTCCCCCGACTCTCCACCTCTGTGTGTTTTATCAAACCGATATCTCATCTTTTCAGGCAGGCTGGTGCCCCTCACCGAAGAGACATCTTACGGAAGACGATTGCATCCCCATCTTAAAGAAGAGGAAGATCCTTCGCTGCCTCTAGCTACTGAGCAGAACACGTAGACGTTTTGGAAAGCCAGAGAATCCACGCCCTCTGCAAACATTTGTAAACTACCACTATGTGCCAGGCACACTGTTGGGTGCTGGGGATTCGATGATGAACCACACAGCCCTCCTTCCCAGTCCTTTAGTGAAGAAACATGATGCATCTCCCTGAAGGTAGGGACAGAGTACAGTGGGAACCAAAGGACAGCTGGTGATTCCACATCCGTGTGAGCAGACCTGGAGGTCTGCCTGGAGCAGGTGACAAGTGACCTGTTTCAAAAGTGCTGGTTTACTCACCAGGAGACGTTCCGACCCCCATTTTTAGCTAAAGGAATGCTCCCAGGAAATGTGGTACGGTGGGGACCGTGTGGCCAGAATTCTGGGATATTTTCGTTTATCACTAAGACAGAATGGATCTCCAGTCGAGGGTCAGCTGCACGCTGCCCCTTGCTCTCCACAACTTTCCTGAAAGCCTTCCAAAAACCTTCCAAACCAGGCCCTCCTCCCAGTGCCCAAGGGCTCAGAAATCCTGGTTACGTACGAGTTTTTCACTTGCTAAAAATAATGAAAAGGAATCTGGAATCTGGAGAAAAGCTGAGACCATATTTTGGCTTTCTTACTGGCTCAACTCACAGAAGCTTCAGCAAATAAAATGAGAGCTGAAGGGATTGGGAGAGACTGCTAATGGGTACAGGGTTACTTTTGGGGTGATGAAATGTTCTGGAACTAGAGAGAGGTGATGGTTGCACAGCATTGTGAATGTGTGAAAAATCTCTGAACTGCTCCCTTTAAAATGGTTAACATGGTGACTGTCATGCACGTGCATTGTATCTCAAAAAAAAAATCTTTTTAATGAGCCAGGGGTGGGAGGGCTGCACCACATTCCTCTCTTGCCCATTAAAACGCTTCTTCCCACAGGCACTTATCCCCCTCGCTGCCTCTGAAATTAGAGAAGACGCATCAGAAATCCTTTGAGACCCTGACAAATTTGAATCTCATCTTTTGGTGGTAACATTTTTAACAGCTTTATTGGGGTATAACTTGCAGATCACACAATTCACCCATTCAAAGTGCACAACTCACTGGCATTTAGAACATTCACAATGTCGTCCAACCGTCACTTCTATCTGGTTCCAGAAGATTCTGTCACCCCAAAAGGCCACCCCATCCCCATTAGCACTCACTCCCCATCCCCCTCCCCAGCCCCTGACCATCACTAATGCCCTTTCTGTCTGTGGATTTGCCTGTTCTGGACATTTCATATCAATGGAATCACACACGATGTGGCCTCCGCTGTCGGGCTTCTCCCACTGAGCATCATGTCTTCGGGGTTCGTCCACATGTAGCGTGTCTCAGTGAGGAATCCTAAATTTGCACGGGGCGGGGTTTCCACCCACGCCAGGATATCGGTATTGCTGCTGTGCACGTGTCCCAGCTGAGGAGCTGAGTTTCCGGGAGCTTAAGGGCAGAGTCAGAATTCGCACCCGGCCCCTCCAGTAGCCACAGTCCCAGCCCCTGCTCCCAGAAGGAGGCTGTGCATGAGGGAACAAGTTGATCCCTAGATGCTAGGTTTCCTCCTGGCATCTGCCTGGGTTGTGCCCACCCTGGAGGAAGGTTTGCTGGGTCCAGCCTGGGGTCAGCTAAGCCCCTGATATGGCCCCAGCCACGATGCCACATGGGCAGCTCTGGGGCTGCTTGCCGAAGGAGCTGGGGCCCTGGCGTGGCCGCATCCCCAGGAAGGTGCCTCCTGAATCAGGACAAGCCACAGGCATCAGAAGGTAGGGGAAACTGAGGCCAGAGTGCACCCATCACCAGCCCCCGGGTCCAGACTGGAGGCTGGAGGCCCATGCCATTACAGACCCAATCCCACAGAGAATTTTCTAAGTCTGGCAGGTTCCACGTCCCTCCAGATGCCCCTCTTCATCACCAGGGTCCCCCAATTCCTATTTACAGGGAACAACCTGCCCCCTTTTTTGCTCCCTCTCTCTCTCGCTCACCACCACACTGGGCCTTGGGGGACAGGATGCAACATCAGCCTCCTGGATTCTAAGACACGTCCCTTCCAGGGTGGCCAGCCAGGACGTGGCTGACCCTCTGTGCAGTTCAAATGGATGGATCATTCCTGCAGGGCCCCAAAACCACTCAGCTGCATGGGCCTCCCAGAGTTTGCATTCCACTCTCCCTTGGTAGTTGACAAACAACTTCCGTGCCACGTCGTGGCTCGCCCCAGCGTCTCCAGGCATCCCTAACAATCTCCTCCAACCAGCCTGCCCGGCCACTCCCCTTGTCCGAGATAATCCAAGGCCTCTGTGTTATCTCAGAAATGCCGTTGCACGATACTGTTGGGTGGCACCGGCATCTTATCAGAAAGGGCACTGGGCCCCGTCTGGGAGGGTCAATCGATCCATCAGAGTGTGGGATCCCTGACAGCCAGCCTCAGCCTGCAGCAGGAAATCAGGGGGCCCTCTCCTGGCTTTGGAAACAACCAAGGGCTCCCCGTTCCATGTCCCCGTCCCTTTCAGCAGCCTCCTTCAGCTTGGAGACGCTTCTCACGCCCCTGGAGGGTGGCAGGAAGGAGGGCGGGTCACAGAGGAAGCCACCCCTGGTGGTTGCATGCCTTGCCCAGCAGAGAGGCGTGTGTGAGCATGACTCATGCGTGTGGGGCAGGGTGTGGTCTCACGTGGATCTTGTTGCATAAACCATCAGGCGGCCGGGCACAGAGATGACCCAGTCCTGCCAGCCAGGTAGGGATTCACCGGGTGCCCTCTGCCCTCTGGAGAGGCTGCAGCCAAGACATTGCAGGAGTCCTGGCCCATTGCAGGCCCCCATGTGCTCCAGGTCATACCCCCATGGGAAATCCCGTGGGTACATGATGCTGATCCTGGGGCTCAAATACAGGGGAAACGGGGGGGCTGCTCACAAGGCAACTGCTCTCACCAGACTTGTTTTGAACTCAGAGCACAAGACTGGCTTGGAACAGAAGATCTGTTTCTGATCTGCATCTCTGGGGCTTTGCTGGCTCAGCGACTTTTAATCAAACCCACGTGTTCTGGGATGGTAAACGCCCGAGGAGAAAGCAGCCTCGTCTGTCCTGGGATCAGGATGCTGGGCTTCCAGCCGACATCCTGGGGAGGTGGGTTTTAGCGGCTTCTGCTGATGGGTGGGAGCTCTTAGCATCACAAACAAGACCCCCACCCCCACCAAAATAAAAGCTATTCTTAGGAACGCTGTTTAGGCTGCACTTGGAGCAATTCTGTTGTCTCTAGTACCCAAACCCAGGTCAGATTCTACCCCCGAGAGATTCTATGCTGCTTCATGTTGGAGTTTCTGCGCCCTGAACGTCCCAACTTCGATTCAGACTTCCAGTCAATAGGAGAACCAGCAACTTTGCAAGGCAAAGCATAGAGCTGTTGTTGGAATAATAGGAACACGGTGCTGAGGATGGAGCTTTGTATTAAAGAATGCGGGCCGCCCAGCGACGGCGACCACTCAGAACAGAGGAGACGAAGATGTGCGCCTCCCAGCTCCCCAAAACCACTGAATTATTTACTTCCATCTAAAGGAGAAAACCAGCCTCAGGCAAGCTCCCTTGAAAAGGGGAAAAACAGAAAATCACAATGACTCTCCACAGCCCTGGCACCAATTACAGCTGTTACCCGCAGAATTTATATGTCGCCGAACTTAGTTACCGTGAACCGTGTGCATCATGTGGCTCGCAACCCACTCGTGCACACCCACAGCCTCTGAGATTTTATTACCCCGAACTTGGCATCCTTGTGTCTTCGTCCCATTGAGGAACAGCCACCCTTCAAGGCAACTGTTTCTCATTTATTGACATCGGATTTTAATGGTTTCCCCTGAAGTGTGGATTAATTTAAACCTCTCCTTCTGGGGTCAGCCGCCCCAGATGAAGCCATTTAGGGAGGCTTAAATCTCCACGACCCTCTCATCCTTGAGGAATCCCACAGACGGGGCCGACCTCGCTGGAATTTCACGCATTTGGAGCAGGGACTCCGAGGGAGCCCGTCTTGACTTCCTCCAGGCAAATAGTCCCCTTTTGACTCTGGCTCAATAGTTAAAAAAATTAGTTACAGAAAGCGTATGATGGTAGCTCTTTCCAAGACGGCATGAGTCACGGAGTCGAGAAAATAAATAATTTGCTTATGTTAGTCGTTTAGGTTTAAAGAGAGAGTAAAAGGAGAAAAACAGCATGGGTTTCCATGCATCGCTGGTGGGGTTCCACTTCCTCCCTGAAACAGCTTGTGGCTAATTCCATTCTGGTGTCTAGTTCCTCAAGAAGTTTCCATTTCCAGCAGGTGGGCGATTATTACTAAAGAGAGGTGGGTTCTCGTCCTCCACACCTCAATGTGAATACCCAGGGACCCAATGACTGACCCTCTCTCCAAGGGCTGCAGACCCTTCTGGGGCTGAGCTGGTGCCCGGTGCGTGGGCTGCTCCTCAGGTCTATGAATCCTCCTTGCCCCTCAGCCTCCAATGGCAGCTGAGCCTCGCCCCAGAAGGTCAACCAGTTGTCCGGGTTCCTGGCATCACAAGGGCCCTTTTAGTGCATTGCAGATCAAAGCCATCTGCAGCGGCAGATGTACAGAGGCTCCAGGCGGACAAGCATTTGGTCACAATGGAAGAAGGAATGATCGCTCATCATAAAAGAGAAGACATTTGTTGTGAAATGGAGACTGGAGAAAAATGCTGCCAGCTGTCCAATGAGGAAAGGTTGAATGGTGTGTACTAAACCTGCCTTCCCAAAGGGAAACAGGCACGTGGATCCCTTGGGATGTGGGGGACACGCAGACTCTGCCATGGTACATCTGGGTGGGGCTGAGAGGTGGCAATTCTCACAAGCTCCTATGGGACTCTGAGGCTGCAGGTCCGTGGATTTCACTTTGCAGAACAAGAACTGTGTGTGGGTTTGCTGGGGCACTGTACCAAAGTATCCCAGATAGGGTGGCTTAAACAACAAAGATAGCTAGCTACCTAGATGACACATAGATAGATAGATAGATAGATAGATAGATAGATAGATAGATAGATAGATACATAAATAGATGATAGATTGATACACAGATACATAGTGTGGGAGATCGAAATTGGCCACCCTGAAATATATCTCTTTACCTTGATTATTTTCACTGACAGACATCTGAGCTCCCCCAAACTGCCTAAAGGAATTTAACTCTGGGTATGGACAGACTGGCAGGGTCCTCGCTAAGCCTATTTTTAACAAAGTTCTGTTTACCAAACATTTACATTTGTAAAGGTATCTCCCTCTGTGTAGTGGGAAGAGGGGAGGGATGACCTTATCTGTGAAAACTCTTATCAGGACGGAAGAAGAAGACTTAAATCTACATACTCTTGATTACTATAATTCCTGCCTCTCTGTCCACGTTTTCTATAGGCGGCCCTGTAAAGAATTGTCTGACAAACATTTACATTTCCCTCTCCATGTGAATTGTCTTCTTCCCCTCTGAAATCCCAAACCACTACCCCCCCAGCATCCTCCTGTGTCTTTAGCTGAAGATGGTATTTAAGATGAGAATCGCCACTATTGTGCTGAGAAACTCAGTTTCCCTGGTTTCTCCCGTGTATACATGTTATTAAACTTGGTATTATTCTCTCCTGCTAACCCGTCTTTTTAATTATTCAGCCAGCCATAAGAACCTTACGGGAAAGGGCAGAGGGGAATTCTCCCTCTTCCCCAAAAATAGATAGATATAGATAGATAGACAGATAGGTAGGTAGGTAGATAGATAGTTACATAGTTAGACAGATGATAGTCAGATAGATATAGACAGAGTCTCTCATGCCAAGGCAGGATTTCTCAACCTCAGCATTAGCGACGTTTGGGACTGGATAATCCTCTTACGTTTGGGACCATCCTGTGCACTGTAGGATGTTGAACAGCATCCTGGCCTCCAACTATTAGATGACAGCAGCCCCTGTCTCCCAGTTGTGTCAACCAAAAATGACTCCAGATACTGCCAAGCGTCCCCTGGGGGCAAAGACCCCCCCAGCTGAGAATGGCAGGCTGCAGTCTCTCTACCTGGCAGTGTCACTTCTGGCCTGCCCGTGTTGGGTGATGCATCTCCGAACGGGGAAGCAAAGATCAGCCTCCCCTGTGTGTCAGGGACCCATGAGGCTCAGCCCAGGTGTAAACCAGATGGCGAGTCATCATTCCTCAAAGCGAGCCTTGACTCCAGCGTGGGTGTGTCCCTGAGTGCTTCTTAAAATGCAGGTCTCCCAGTTCCCCAGTGCCCCACCCACCTACAGAATGGGGCTCTCCAGGGACGGGGACTGGGGTGGTGCCTTTAAACCAGCTCCATCCTGGCTGACTCCTCTGCACATCAAGGGTTGAGAACCACTGCCCCAAATAGATGGGCGGGTTCAGCCCCACAGATGGGTAAGGTGACAATGGGCGGGTTCAATGACACCTTTGTGGCGTGGCTTCCACAGCCATAGACTGGCCAGATCAGAGGTAGTTTGGGGGCCATGAGGAAGGAGGCAGGATCAAGAAAGTCTCCACTGAGCGATGTAGGATGAGGCTAGCATGGACTAGAGTCCCATAGCCCCGCGTGGCCTGGCTTGTTGCCTTGAGCAAGTGTCACAAGGTTGTGACATTCTCCATATCACCATTCTCAGAAGCAAAACCAAAACAGCCCCACAGCTGAGTGCAGCAAGTCGTGCAAAATACCTTCACCCAACAGGAAGTACTCAGAAACACTACCTGTTGTTCTTAAAAAGTATAAAGAACATCGCTATCAGTTACCATCATTTTTTTTTTAACTCTGCACGTAGAAAAGCAGCTTTCTAGTCAAATGCACACAAATTTTTAGCCATGTCTGATAAGGGAAGAAGGCACAATAGATGTGGAAGAGAATGTTGGAGGCAGTGCATAATATATGTGCAGGAAAAAGGGTAACATATATATAGGAAAACAATAGTGTACATACTGGATACTATGTATATATATGTATATATATACAGGAAAAAGAAAAACATAAGGATATATATATTTATATATTTAATTTATATACATTTATAAACATAAATGGCTTATACAAAATTTTTTTATATAAAATTTTTTTTTCTCAACAAACCAAACATCACAAGCTGCCCTTTGCAATTTCCATCCGAATCCTGCCTGTGGGTTTTACCAGTGGCGCGACCTGGGGCAAATGGGTGAACTGTCGGTGCCTCAGTTTACCATCTATAAAGTGGCACCCCGTCATTGGGCTGGGTGAGAATAACTTAAGGAGTTAGGAGTGATATCGTCATGCAAAGAGCTCAACACGGACGTCATTGAAAGCACTTGGCCAACCTCAGCCGTGGCTGGCTCCTAGATCTTTTTTCTCTTGTGAAGGATATTTTGTAAACACACAGCAAAGTTTCCCACAGATTTACGATGAGCTGCATGGCTCGCTGAAGGAAGCTGACATCCACTTCTTCCTAAAGGATGCAATAGACTATGCAATTTAGAGGTTGACTCGCTTGAGGGAATAAGGCAAACCTACAGTTCTGACCGTCAGCCACCAAGACCGGAATTAACTCTCCAAAGGGGCTGGGTGTGCAGCTGGGCGTCTCTGCTTAAAACAGGAGCCCTGCCCTCTTTCTTCTCCCTCAGGTCTTGTGTAAATTCAGGGACCAACATCCCTGTGCAAACAGAAGCTACTGAATTCATGTCAGCATGGTCCACATACCAGGTAAGATGTACAGACGACGTGCATTAACTGATGCTGAAAGTCCCAGTCTCCATGCACCACGATCTCTCTCAACCTCACATCTGCCCCCAAAACAACCAACTCTCGTCCTTGAACACGCCTTAAACATGATAAACAGGAAATGCCAGAATCCTAACATTTGCACGAGATGTTTTAACTCCTAACCGACGCTTCTCCCTCCCAAGTTCCACCTGGTATTCCGTGCCCTGGAATCAGAATATGAAAAAGAGCATACTTGCCATCCAGTTACTGCTTAAATCTTACACTTCACTGTTCATATAGTTCCTAAATGAGGTGCCCCACCCTCCCCAGCATCCGGGTGTTGGGAGAGAGCCTGCCAGCTCGCATTGAAGTTCTGGGCATAAAACAACTCACATGATTTTAACTTGTGACCGCACAAGGATGACATTTATCGAAAAGCTTAAAAATCAGAACCGAGCCTGCCCATGAAGCCAACGCAATCTCAGGTCAGCCATGCCCCCGAACCAAGCTGTGTGTCGATTCCACTTTGGCCGTATGGAAACAAAACAGTCAGAACTAATATTTTAAGCCCCAAACAAGGAACTTAAAAACCCCAACACGCCCTAACATGCTTAAATCATCGACTAGAACAGATCATTTTTTAAACGTGTGACACGCACAGACCAAAATGAGAAAACAGAGTTTGCTTTTAAGTGCTATTAACACACATCCTACAACTAAAACATCTGGTTTCAGTTCCCAGACCCTACACTGGCTCCCCATACCCTCTCCCCTACCAGCCATCATCCTCCCTCTCCTTCCTAATCCGGTCTGGCAAGCTAGAGCCATTCACTTAGCAGAAGCTCCTTCTGGAAGGAGTTTTTAAAAGTGAGCTTTTAAAAACTCACAGAAGCCCACACCTACGCAGCTACCCCTCGGGGCAAACCGTCCCTCACCTCGGGCGTGCATCAGAAAACACAGGAACGAGAGACAAAAGAGTGCCCGCCAGCTCTCCATCGTGGGCTCCGGGAGGAAGGAATCTCAGCGGGTTGCCACATCCAGCCACCCCACCCTCGATGTGTTGACTTCTGGTCTCCCAGCTTGGAAGGAAGAGAGGCCAAGTCTTCAAGCGGAAGCTACGATCCCTTTGCCAAAACCAAATGAGCCCGGCTCTCGGACTCCAAACCCCACAGCCAGGAGCCCGTGGGACAAGTACACGCACACTGAAGAACGCACCCGAGCCAGCCCCCTCGAGCTGCAACGGCCAACCCCTAGCATGATGGGGAAACAGGGTGTCACTCAGCACCAATGGGCATCCTGGGCTTCAGGAAGCTGGCACACCTGCTTGGCTGCTCTGCTCCCGTGGGCGTGAAAGGTGAAGCATCAAAGGGCCAACCTGAGCCTTGGGAGGAGACTCCTCGCCCGTGGTCCTTCCCAGGAACCCTCCTCCAGGGCGGTGACAGTTCATTGAGAACTGGCGTTGGGTCATTCCAAAGAACAGTGCCCAGACCCAACTTTAAGTCTCAGCTTTTGCAACTAAGAGACCCTGTGCCTTAAAAGACTCTCTCTGTCCCTGAACCTCAGGTATCTTTGCAGGTGTCAGGACAGATAGTCTGGGTGGGGATATCGGTGTGAGGGAAGCAGATGAACCTGGACCCCTGTGTCTTTCACCTGAGCTACGTTAGAGGTGGTTGGAAGCTCCTCATTTATAAATTCCAGGATTTCTGCTTCCTGAGTGTGGAACATCAGAGGAGTTCATGCATTCATTCAACAAACATTCGATACACACCTGTTCTGATCCAGGTGCATGCGAGGTGCCAGGTGTGCAGTGACGAAGAACCGAAAGTTGTATACAAAGAGGAGGCGACACAGATGGTTAAACCAGAGAATTGTGGTGCACTACTATGTGATGTGGGGGATACACATGGAGACGTTGGGGTACCTGGGACATTCCGGACTCACCTTGTGTCATAAAGGTTTCTGGAGAGGGTCGTGGCCTCGCCCTGATTTTAAAGGCTGAGTAGGAAGAAGGGAACAGGCTGGGAGAGACACCAGAGTTCTCCCTCTCCACCATGTGAGGACACAGGGAGAAGACGGCATCTACACACCGTGAAAACAGGAGGAACCAGCCCTGCCCACATCTTGATGTTGGACGTCCAGCCTCCAGGGCTGTGAGACCATAAATGTCTGTTGTTTAGGCTGCCCAGTCTATAGTATCTTGTTACAGCCGCCCAAATATGACTAATTCTCCAAATTTGGAGAGTAGCCAATACTGGTCTTGTTCCTTGGTGACATAAAATGTGAATTAGCTAATGTCTATCTGAGAGCATCCAAGAGACGAATCATGATATTCTCTATGTCCTGGAAATTATATGATCTCAACTAAACCAGTACTTGTCCATGTAGGGACTGGAGGGGGTGGGTGTAAATCCTGCTGCATGGTTGACAAGGACGTTCATTGCTTTGTGGGTCGATAGAAAGGAGAATGGACTTGCAGCAATATTTATGGACTTCCATCCACTGTTTTCATGGCTATTCCATATTCCAAAGCCAGGCAGAAATATACCGTAGCTAGTTTTAATGGAAAATCCAGGGCAAGTTTTATTCTATTTGTACCTCATTTTGTTCTGTGGCAGAGTGAGCTATTGACGGTGAGGAATGGAGGAGGACCTATTGAAAGTCATCCTGCTGCTGTTCCATCCCCACCAGCCCCCCAGGAAGGAAGGAAGGAACAACTACAGAGATTGTGCTTGTTAGGGGCTGAATTGTGTCCCTCTAAAATTCGCATGTTGGAGTCCTAACCCCCAGAACCTCAGAATGGGACTGGATTTGGAGATGGGTCTTTAAAGAGGTGATGAAGGTAAAATGAGGTCATGAGGGTGGGTCCTGATCCAATAGGACTGGTGTCCTTATACAAAGAGGAGATGAGGACACAGACACGCACAGAGGGACGACCATGTGTGGGCACAGGGAGAGGACGGCGTCTACACACCAAGGAGAGAGGCCTCAGGAGGAACCAGCCCTGTGCACACCTGGATCTCAGACTTATGGTCTCCAGAACCATGAAACAATACAGTTCTGTTGTTTAATCACAATCAGTTTGTGGTATTTTGTTATGGCAGAGATGGGATCCTTATATGAAGATGAGCCCACTAGGGGCCATGGAAATGAGTTATAGATGGCATTAAATTTGGTGCAAGGAGATCATCGAACTTGTTGCAATCATGCTGAGGGAAGTGACGTCAGCAGAGATGGACAAAGGGTAGGCGTGGTGGGGAGATTTCCAGCATTCTTTAGAGAGAGAACCAACAGAATTAATGAAGGTGCCCACATTTAATCATAAACAAACCTGCAGACACCCGTCTACTGATCCGGAGAGATTTCAGTAAATTGCATATAGCGGAGCCATGATTCACATTCAGGCAGCCTGAGTCCAAGGCTTATTGCGTCCTTAACCTGGCTGTCCTGCTGGTGGGCTGCCCCAAAGTAGGCACTCAAAATCACTTGTTAACTTAAATTGAAGGGAAATTGGATGAAGGTGGCTGGTGGAATGAAATGGACATGACCACTGGACATCCGACTTTGGTCCAGAGTAAGTTGAGTTGCCATAAAGGGAGAGAGCGAAGTGAAGATTGAAGTCCAGAAGGCACTACGCCCTCAGGAAATATACAGTAAGAGTTGTGGGTTGAATTCTATCCCCTCAAAGGGATATGTTGCAGTCCTAACCCCCAGGACCTCACAATGGGAACTTATTTGGAAACAGGGTCTTTGCAGATGATCAAGTTAAAGTCATACTGGATGAGGGTGGCCCTAAATCCAATGAAAATGTCCTTATCAGAGACAGAAGAGGAGACACAGACACAGAGGAGAAGCCACGTGGAGACGGAGGCAGAGATGTGAGGGAGGAGGACACCAGCCCAGGGACGCCTGGAGCCCCAGAAGCTGGAAGAGGCAGGAAGGACCCTCCCGGGGAGCCTCTGGAGGGAGCGTGGCCCTGCGACCCCTTCATCTCAGACGTCTGGTCTCCAGGACTGGGGGAGGATGAATTTTATTGTTTTAAGCCTCCGTGTTTGGGTCATTTGTTAACAGCGGCAACAGGGCACTCATATACCTTCCATTCTTTGAAACAAAGGAACAAGGCACGAAGTCACAGAAAGCCTTTTTCTTCCATCACAGAAATAAGCGCCCCTCAGACCCCAAAATTCTAGCTCTCGGACCATTGTAGTTGCCAGGATATCAATGCATGTTCATCAGCACGATTGCACAGAATTACACACAGACCTTTTTTGAATTGTTAGGTTTTTTTTTCCCCCTAAACACATTTTGGATCCGGACAAAATTTTATACTTCTAAAAAGGGTTGGAGATGAGCCAAATGCCTTTTTCCTAAGTGCCTGTCCATTCTCCCTGACACGCTGACCTGCAGGAAAAATGCAAACGTTCTCTTTAAGAGCCATTCCAGGAAGACAGAGCCTGGCTTGCCAGGGAACACCCAAAGGTAGAAATGATGGAGAATGGAAGGGAACAGCAGGGCTATAGTACAAGATGAATACCGTAATCATGGCGCTTCATCACCACCCAAGAACAACTCGATTGCCAGGAAGAGGCTCTAAAGTGTCATTTGAGATAATTGAGTGCTCTGCCCTCTCCAAGACCAGCAGTGCAATCAGGATGGAAATCTGCAGCCTGGTAACTCTGGAAAGCGTTCTCCTTTTTTATTTCATCGTGATGTCGTCCCACAAAAAAAGGCAACAATGGATGAACATCCATGATTTAAGTCAGAGGCATTTTGTCTATCTACCAAATTCTTTCCATCTTCCATTTTGAAATCTCCCTGGAGAAGAGATATGGCTTGGTGTCCGAGTCCATTGATATTTTCCTATTTTCACAGCGTTTATTATTTTTTTCCCTAAATCTCTGTGACTCTGCCTAATTTATTCAAATACACTCATTGATCAACACTTGCAAACTACCCATCTCAAAGCAGTGGAGAACAAGACAAAGTTAAAACGTGCAAAAGGCACTTTGAACCCCTCTGATAAATGGAATATGTACACGAGAAAGAAAAAATAAATCCTGGTTGGGAAAGCAGTTTCTAAATCCCCAGAGAAGCTGAATTTATGCCCAATAGAATGAAAAGAGAAATGAATCTCAATAACTTCAGCATTTTTTTTAGCAGCTTGAAATGTGTGTATATTTTTCTTGATTGTCTGGTATTTTGCTTGTTTTCCCTGTAGCATCTTTATAAAGCTATGTTACTTAGACGGATCAATTTTTGGTGCACACACGTGTGTGCGTGTGTGTGTGTGTAAATGCTTTAAGAAAACATGCATGTACAATCCTAAGCTGTAAGTGAGACAGTCAAGGAGGGCAGAGGATGTGTTTGCAAAGATCCTTCCCTCGAATTTCCCAGACCATAAAATCAATTAAAGCTCTGATATGTGCTACAATGTGGATGAACCTCAAAAATTTTACGCCAAGTGAAAGAAGCCAGACATGAAAACCCACACAGTCTCTGATCCCACTTATGTGGAATGTCCAGGATAGGCAAATCTTAGAGGCAGAAAGCGGATTGGAGGTTGCCTGGGGCTGGGGGGAGAAGGATGGGCAATGTTATGTGAATTGTGTCCGCCCCCCCCTCAAAACTCATATGTTGGAGTCCTAACTTGCCATAGCTCAGACTGTGACCTTAGCTGGGAATGGGGTCAGTGTAGATGTAATTAGTTAGGATGAGGTTGTACTGGAGGAGCATGGGCCATAACCCAATCTGACTGGTGTCCTTATAGCAAGAGATTTGGACACGGACACGCAGACACAGGAAGAAGGTCACTTGAAGAGGAAGGCAGAAATGGGAGTGATGCATCTACAAGCCAAGAAACACCAACGATTTCGGGCAGCCCCCAGAAACCAGGAGAGAGGCACGGAGCAGATTCGCCGGAAGGAACCAATGCTGCCCACGCCTTGATTTTAGACTTCTGGTCTCCAGAACTGCGAGAGGATAATTTCCGTTGTGTGACCTGCCCCGTCTGTGGTGTTCTGTTAT